TGTACGTAAGATAATTCATAAAATGAATAAAAATCGTCACAGCCTCGTGACAAACAAGTATGTCTCGCGAGGCTGTTATATCAAAGTTTAGAACTGAACAAAACTCTAAAAAACTGAAAGACCGGACGGTTTTCAAAAAACGCACCCTTAATTTTGTCCACATGTGCCTTTTTTTGATTTCGCTGCTTTCCTTCTCTTGTGTTGAGATACTCTTTCATTTATTTTATATTTTTCTCAATTTTGTTTTTTTGTGTTTCATAATGGCTAAATTTGACCAAATTTGGCTAGTCATTTCCGTATAGCTTCGCCCCCTTTTTTCGTGCGCAAAGAAAGCATATTCGAACTTACAAGAAAAAGAATCGGGATCGGTAACTTAAAGTCTTTACTAGTTCCTCTTTTCAATTCTGTCATCACCTTTTTACTCGAAGGAGATACAACAAATCAACATCGTAAGCCATGAGAAAAAAGTGGTATGAGTCGAATTAACAGACAAGCATTACAACAATTTGTACTATGCGGAATTAGATCGAAGCCAATCGATTAAAAAACCTCCAATTATTTTCAGATAGCAAATGCGTTCGTTGACGTCACTTGATCATGAACTGGGATGTAACCTTTTAATTCCCAGAGGTAGCAAAAGTACAAAATATTCGACATAATTTTCAAATTTAATTTTTTAAAATGCTGATATTAAGAATAACATCGAATAGCACTATGTGTCACACCATAGGTTTTCATCCGCAGACTCAAAATTTAAAACCACGTCAGAAGCCCCCATCATTCACTCCGGAAGTGAAAGGGTTAATGCTGTGCTACAGCGGGTATGTGCGAACGTGACGCGAAACCCGATTACAATATATCTGTGTAAAATATCGAACACCGAACGCAGTGTTTTAACACATATTAAACACAGAGTACTGAATTATTTCACGAAGCGCACTGGATTATTTTTTACGAGCTTCGAGGTATTTGAAATTGTGACAAAACACAGTGAAGAGTTGCTCTTCAGATGTACAGTCATGATACGGTGCATGTACGGCCTCATTTGTCCCTACCTTTGAACTTGTTAGATTCTATTTTATAACAGCACAGACGAGTGGTATTTTTAACTTGGGGCTGTAATTTGCTATTTCTTTAATTGTGCTTCCTGAATAAGCAAGTTACCAACATGAAAAAGAAAAATGGGCATCATTTCAACCGGGACCTTTGCTACATTGAACAGGGCACCCAACGAGAATACAGTTCAAAACCACTTAAACATAGCACTGTTAAACGTATTTTAGTATTTAAACGGTAGATATGGGCATATTTTATCCCCTAAAAAGTTTTCATCTGATCGGATTTCCTAGCTGAAAGTCTAGTGATGCGAAAATCATAGGGATCAAAACTTACCTTTCAGCCAGAAAAAAGGCTCGCGAAAAATCTAGGTGACCTTTTTAGGGTAAAAATCTGTATAAAAAATGTGCAATTATACCATTTTTTAGAAGTTCGAAAATCCTAGGAGAGGCAGGCAAGCAAGAAATTTTACAACAAATGTTCCGAAAATTCTAAATCTCAAATCGTCTTCCGAGCAGATATTTTCCGAAAATTGACGTTGGGTGCCCTTGATTGAATCGCCGAGCGTCTCGGATTCTAGATTACACGCCGTGGATTCCGGATTCCAGGTATTGGATTCCAGTCTTTGTCAGTGGGTTTTTCTGGATTCTAATCAATAGTGGGATTGTGGATACCTTGAGCTGTATTCCGGATTCCACATCCCAGGATTCCGGATCAGACAACAAAATTTTCCCAGGATTCTGGATTCCACAAGCAAAAATTTCCAGTTTTGTGGAATCCGGATTCCTTTACAAGTGGCGACTTCTGAATTCAGTCTGTCATGCGTCCTAAACAACAAAACGAAGGAAGTAGTAAGCGATTCAGCTCTGCTACAGAACTGAATCAGCATTTGTAGATAGACAAGTAGATACGTGAAGAATTGAACTGATGAATCTCGTGCATGCCAGTGATCAGCTTAAGTTTTTAGGGGATCGGATTAAAATTATTAATTTTCCTGTTTCTTTCAACTAATAAAGCCCCTCATTTACATGCGGCTAGAAACAATAACGCTTGGTACAAGAGCGGAAATTCCCTACTTACTTTTTAAAAAAAGTCTTGAAAATCTGAAAACTGGGAAATCGGACATTTTCAGCTTAGAATTTTAGGGGATAGGATGAAAATTATTGTTATTCTTGCTGTTTTTTTCAACTAATAAAGCTCCTCGTTTGCATGGTCTTGTAAACAATTGCATCGAGCAAAAAATTCAGCAACAGTAAATAAAAAGGAAAAACAAAGTTTTCAATCATTCAAAGTATTTTCTTGCCTTAAAAAAATATTGAACCCTAAGATTTTTTTCGACTTTTGAAAGGTCGTTTCCTAAAAAAAAAAACACCGAGCTCACAAATGTGAAGATCACTGAGTGTGTATATACTAATAGCTCATATACCATGATGGCTATGATATGTAGCTATTATATTTATTTGAAATGTGGGGAACCCAGTTATTACTTCGGCGGAGCGCGAAGTAAAGGATTCGCGACGCTCAAGAAGGTATCAAAGTTGCCATTTTTTGACAAGATTGGGCAAGCAAAGTCTGTAGGTTTTCGGTTCTATTTGGTTATTTGACGAAGTGAGAGCGGAATTACTTCGAGATATCTCGAGATCACTTCGATTTCTTTGATTTATTCTTTACCTTTTTCGAGGAAGAAAGAATTATTCCCGGGGTTTGAACCGTCTCACCTGTGTGACCCGTCAGATCAGTAGAGACTCTCAGTTGAGGGATTAGCCGATTGCGCTACTGCGACCCAAGGTAGTTTGAAATATGAAAAATAGTTATGAAATGATGCACTAGTTTCGGGACAAGCTTGGGCGTGAAAGTTCTTGACTTTTCGGCTTGTTTCAACTATTTCACGAAATGAGACCGGACTACTTCGTGATATCTTGAGATCACTTCGAGTTTAGTCTTTAATTACTCGAGGAATAAGTAGAGGATATTTCGTGGCCGCGCAGAGACACGAAATTTCTCTTCGAGTGTTGAAAAACATTTCACGAGTAAGCCCTCCTTTCGAACTGTTTTATGATGAATTTAAAGTTACGAAATGCTGCACAAAGACATTTTGTCTTTGTTGAGTGTTACATAGTAAAATTGCTGTCATGCGTTGCGTGACTTTCTCGATTTTGGATTAGCCATGAATAATTAATTAGGGCATGTTTACATTTCAGCATGAGTCAGCAGATTTGCATCAGTTACTGAAATCACAAAATATGTCGAAAAGCTACTACTATTCGCCTGTTTAGTATTTTCTAGAACCTTATGTCAAACGGTATACAAGTTCCAAGCGAGTTCTTTTGACCAACTAAGTTTTTTCCCACGAGCTGGACTGCTGTGTTTAGTCAAGTATGACGAAGGTCGATTTTCAGGTTCTGTGTTTACAAGTTCGCGGAAGCCGTAAGGTATCTGAAGTTCAAGTGAGAGTTTGTTATTATTGGTAGAGGCTGTTTAGTTTTACTCAAAGTTCAAGTCAAGTTTGTGTTGGTGGAAGCTGTGTTTTAAAGCTCTCTAAAGGCTATGTTCCTTTGGTGTTAAACTTCCTTGTATTAATCCGACATCCCTGCGGGCTGATAGTCAGTGAATAATTATCCTCAAAACATTGGAACTCGTGACTTTGAGTTTTAGCCAATTCCATGCTCAAGGTAATTGACTCCTTACCAATGCCTTACATATCTTTAATCAATACATGAGACTGCTATGCTGTTTTTGAAGCCTGATGAGACTAAGAAAAACAGAGAATTGTTCTTTTAGAAGGATTTGTATGGAGTCATCAGAGCATAACTGAGCTAATATCTGGGAGACAATTTGTCCCGAAATGCCGTTTTTGGCAAGTAGGCCTCTTGGATGTTGCTCTTTTCAGAATATCCTGACAAATCCCATAATTTCACAAATTAACACCTTACTCTTAGGGACGGACCATTAGAAAAGTTATGGGGGGAAGGGGAATTTTCGAGCCGCAGAAATTTTTTTTCGTTATCAAATTCCTTGTTTGAATATTTTTAGGCCATGGCATGAATATTTTTTAGGATAAATTGGCGTGCAAGGATTTTTTTCATTTAATTTTCCCTTGCGCGAATATTTATTTCGTACTTCACCCTCCCCCCCATAAGTTTTCTAATGGCCCGTCTCTTGCCATATTTCATTTCTTACTATTCCTCCGCATTTACAATTACTTAGTTCGACAACCATGACGCCGAAGTGTACGCTCCGTAGCGTCTTGTTTTGCCTAAGTAATAGTGAAAATGATTCGGCCGGGTGTGTTTACTTCAGCATTTCCAGGGAAAATCCCGCTCACACGCCAGACAAGTCGCACGTTCACCCGCTCTTGTGTGAACTTGAATGGACCAATCAGATACACGGTTATTGTTGTTGTTGTTGTTGTTTTAAGAAAACTAAATCAGAGAAAGTCCTGTTCCAGTGTTCCCCTGAGCTTTTCCCTCCTTGGCCGTCATGCGTCGAAGAGCTCTGGGGTCGAGATTGAAGATTAACTGATTAAAGGGGGTTCACCGTAAGGGTTAAGATTAAACCCTTCACTTTCTGACATTTCAGTAGCCTGCGTGGCTAGTAGGGGTTGGTCACGCGTTCCTGTTCCACATTCGTTCGTGAGGATTGCGTGACTAGCCAAAAAAGGCTGGCGGGATTGTAATTTTCTTTATGCGCAGGGCTCTCTTTTTGCGGAAAAGTCGCGACGAGCAGCGAGGAAAATTTCAGTTGGTGTTGCTTCCCAACTTCTTGCGGCTCTGCAGCCAGAAAAACAATAGCCGCTCCCCCGCATCGACAAATTCCGCTTATACGCAGGCAAACCACGACTTGGGTATCCTGTGGTGTTTGTTTGTCTGGTCCTTGTCAAGGCGGGTATTCATTGACCCCCCTCTACGGCCAGCATTATTTCCTGTGCGAATTGTTGAAGCTGAGAGTACGGAAGTCCTTCTCCTCCGGCTTTGTCGGGCGAAGTTAATAGAACGTTTTACCCTTCGCGGCTCGTGGGAACTTCAAACTCTTGCCTTCTGTTGTTCCTGGCAGCAGACAGGCCTCAAGGGTGAGTAGTCATACGATCAGAGCGTTCCGCTTGTAACGGATACCAACAAGACCCTGTCTTGTCAAGTGGTCAGTGATCTGATCTTGCTCATTTTATGCTTGCTCGCTTTTTTCTCGATAATTCTACTGATTTAAGCAGTCAAAGGTTCGTTTAAATTCTGGTGAAAGTAAAAGCGTAAGCATCTTATTTCAGCGAGAAAGAGAACTTTTGTTTTAGGTACTTCCGTGTATAAACGCTTAACTGCAAATCCAAAAAACGTCAGATCGGTCGAATACATTAGTATTAAAAGGGATTACGGCTGGAGTGAACATCGATTTACGCTTTTTGAGTCTACCAACTCCCTGTAATTTCTCGGTGGTTTTAGGTTCTAGCTCGTAGAACACTTTGCTTTTAGGTACATTTTAATATTATCAGACACACCAAATCATGCTTATTATAATATCCGTCATCAATTATTTCATATTCCTCTCCTCGATTCCTAAGCAACAGTCAGTAGTGGACTGTTTTATCAGTTATGCCAAGACAACTAAGTGATCTTTCAGTATAAAGCTAACTAGCTAATGTTGAATTTAATACAGTTTGCCGTTTTTTCGTATTTCCTAAAGGTTGTTACCTCAGAGTGCCAAATGCCTCAATATGTCCATGAACCATCAGCAGGTTTGTAACCGAAATTTGCTCATGATCCCTCACTTGCCAGCTACAATTAATTATGATGTAAATGTTTATCTTCCAATTACAAAACTGAACATTTTCAGTTCGTTTATACTGAAAACTGTTACCTGGACTAACTTGTACTCTTGACAAGCTCAAAGTAGTACAGTGGAAACCCGTTAATATGGCCACTATTGGGCCCAAAAAAATTGGCCTTATTAACAAGGGTTTTTTTACAAGAAAATATATGGCAGTTTTTGCTAGGTAGCCAAAAAAAGTGGCCGTAAGGCGCGTTTCCACTGTAGTATTTTGAGTTTCGGGATTTCATAACTGAAGTATTAACAGTTGACGTTTAGAGATCCTGCTACAAGATCAGGATGTAACAAATGCCATCACTGGTAGTTTCTTTTCTGTCAAATTGTCAATTCTCAGAAACTTTGTGGCTTTATTAATCCATGCATGAAAGCACTGAGTTTTAACTTGTTGACTAAAATGATGTTTCTTGGAAAATAGTAGCCCAGCTGCTGATTTCTTTGCATAGGGGTAACTTCTTGATATTTTGGAGGAGAATCTTGTAAATTACACCCTATGTTCAGGGTTGTCACCAAGATTTCAAGCTTCTCGTTAAAACAACAAGTAGGTGGGGAGTCCAACAGGTATATGGGAATTTCTGTTGGTTCTGTTTTTCTTCTATTTTTTTGTGAAAGTACGTGTAGCAGGAGGTCAACTTCAAAGTAACTAGGGGAAATCCCTGTCCCTAATGATAGCGCTGGGCTCAGTTGTTCAAAGGCTGATTAGCGCTAACTCAGGTTAAAGTTTTTGCCCTGGTTTCTTTTTCTTTTGTTCAAATGCATTTTCCCGGGTGATTTTTTCTATTCTTTTTGGAGCATGCAATGATCAAATTTTAGACAAAAAGAATAAAACTGAATTTGATTTGTGAGCTTTCATATCTGAATTCAAATTTTGAATTAACCCTGTGTTATCTTAACCCTGCTTTGAACAACCCAGCCCAGAATATTAGCTTAAAGCTCACAGAGTATTCAAGGAGCCACAGAAAGCTTAAAGCTGGTTTTTGTTAGCAGTTGAGTCATATGTGGAATCCAAAGACTACCTTATTTTTATGTACAGTGCTGTAAAAATCAAAACTTGGAGTCATAAGCTCGATGGAATCAGGGTTGGTAGAATCAGAACATTTCCATTTTCTTCTGATTCCATTGGTGATTCTATTTCTTATGATCTAGTGAAAACCTGAATGTCAGAGTCAGCAACAGAAGTGGAAGAATAAACCAATTACAAAACTCCCCCCCCCACTTAACGATTGGTTTGATTCTTCCACTTCTGCTTACAACTCCGACAATCTAGTTTTCACTAAATGTAAGTTACCAGTTGCATCTCATTTTCTGCACGTTACATGATTTTGCATCTTACAAGAGGTTGGTAACTTACTTTTGAGCAGTATTGTAAGTATTGAACCTTGTTTAACAGGCAAACGTGAGGCTTATAGGCGAATCTTTGTTTACACTTTTTGCCTCATTTACATATGCTTATCACTGTCTGATGACGCTAATAAAATAAAAACTCTCAATATTGAAAGGGCACAACAGTTTCAGTTATCTCTGAAAATTTGAGCCCAATACACCGAATGGTTTCGGAGAAATTCTCTTCAAAAAACTCGAAATTTTACAGAGAATGTATGGCTCATTAACTTTTTTGCCACACAGCAATTTCGCAATTTTTGATAGCTGATATTTCCTTCAATATTGCTCGCAAAGAGCCGAAAATTGCACAAATAGCCCAACTTTATCAGCTCTTTCAACTTTTGCATTTAGTTTATATATACGGCCACGGCTTCTATGAGTTAAGTCGTATGCTAATGAGGAAAAATGTAAACAATGACGTCAGCAAAGATTCGCCTATAGGAGAGGCCACCTGTAACATTGTCATTTGCAGCTGAGGTTTAGATAGTAAATATTAAATTACCATCCGTCTGTCACATAAGGGTATCAGCTGTACTTTGTATGTGTGCCAATAGCGCTTTCCACTATTACTAAAAATAGGTTTTGTGTCCCCCGCATGACTCAGACAAATTTTGCATCCTGCATGTACTCAAAGGCTTTGTATAGACAACATGCATTTCTGACATGAATAGTGTTTGTAAAATTCACAGTGAATGTTTTTTAACTGTTCTCTGAGCTTTATTCTAATATTTGCAAGGGTAATAGGGAGCAAAACCTGGTCCAAGTAACTCAAATAAACATCTAAAAGCAGAAAATAAACAGACCTGGTCAAATCAGATCCATAGCCCTGCCTTAGTCAGATAGCACTGAAACATGACATAACATTTCTGACCATATAATCATCCAAAACCACAGATGCTAAATAGAAGATCGAATTTGTATGTGTTTTTCGCAAGCCTGTGGCAGTATTTCTGAGCTGTAAAGCACACCAACATGAGTACAAACTGGAAATTGTATAAGTTTAAAATGGTTGGTATGTGCAGCCATACAGTATTTTATACAATAATATCATGTATCCCACAATAGTGTAATACCTAGCGTTGCCTTTGCACTCAAAAATTAATAAAAATGAGCATCCTTTACAGTTAATTTTAACCAAACTACATTTTTACGAACAGCTTTGGTGCCCTACTCAGTTTGTACGTTTCTTAGTGAAATGCCATAACTTTATTTCACCTAAGGGTAAAGACACTGTATTAGAAATAAGATCACTCATCTATACAGTTATGTCCATGCTTAACATAGTCTTAGCACACGTTAATTATTTTCAGGATATGTAATCATTTCCAAGATGGATTTTATTTCTTTATACGATTTTAAAAATCTTCAAAGACGATGTAAATTTGCAGGTGAACACAACTTTCCCATACAAAATTTGTTCAGGTTCAATGTCTGAGTCACAGCAGGGACCAGAAATTTGTGACATCATTAGTGCAAAATGTTATTTAATGTTGCACTGAGCCTTTCTTATCTATATGTAGCACGCAACATATTAGATACTGAATACTAAATCTGTTTGCGTAGGATACACCGTGGCCAACAGGAACTGAAGTGGTTGGAAAGTATGAATTTAGAGGGCGAACACGTGAGGTAGGTTTATCAATGGAAATCCAAATCTTTGATGTAGAGTGGAGCCTCAGTAATTGACCCATTAAACCCTAACATCAAAATTCAAATTCTCATTTGTTATCCCTATACATTTTCAATAGAAGTAGTGGGGAGAATTTGATGAAGTATCAATTAGATTTATCTTGTGTGATCATATCCTTAATTCTCATGACCACTCTGTTTTATAAAGCAGTGATATTACAAGGAGAAATTTGATGCTGATCATTCTTATCGCTTAAAGGGTTAAAATAAACAACTATAGAAGGAACACCTCGGTGAAACAAATGACAACCTTTGTCCCAGTTGTTCAAAATGTGGATGGGGCTACACACTGTATAAATCTCTATCCACTGGATAGTGCAATAAGTTTGCCTAATTCTTATCTGCTGGATGGTGACTTATCCGATGGGTAGCGCTATCAAGACAATGTTATTTTACTTTATGTTTTTTTCCAATCTTTTAATACCTCGTTTTATTGGGGTTTCACTGTATTTACCAGCGACGCTGTAAAACAAAGTACATGTAGCTAGGTAGAGGTTGATTTGTTGAATACACATACTTTCCATAATATCAGCAGGGCTTGAAAAAAAATTGGAATTTCAGCTTGTCTTTACAACAAGCAGCACTAACAACAACTGCCCCATCCAAGCAAATTATTTGTGACCTTCTCCAGGAAAACGTACACTAACGGTTTTCCGTTTAACGGGTAAAAGCTAACGGCTAACGAACGGCTTGTTAACGGCTTTTCTAACGCCCTTAACGGGTTGGCTAACGGTTTGAACGTGTAGGCGAAAAAATCTAACGACCTACAAAAGCATTCGAACGGATTTGCTTTGATTTTCCTAACGACTTTTTTGAACGTTTCTAACGGGCGGACTAACGGCTTCAAGAAACAATCATCTAACGGTCTAAGAGAACGTTTGATAAAAATCAAACGTTTGAAAGTGATAACAGCTCAAAGACTATAAAACATTATGCGCGATGAAATCAGTTGTACCTGTCTAACATTTCAAATCATCTGAGTCGTCAATAAAACTCGGGAGACAGACAAGACATAAAATTCAGTTAAAAACCCAATCTTTAAAATTCGTTTATTACTCACCAACGTTCGTCCAAGTGATGGACCAAAAGTCGCAATGTTACTTCCGTTTCTCGAATACTACATGTAGTACGCAAACATTCACGTGCATGAGTTCGAAGTTTTCGCTCCTGTCTCGCGCTGTGGCCGTTTTGAAAATAAGCAAGAGCTTTTCTAGAAAGTAAATTATAAAAATTGATACATTTTCCCTGTTCTTGATCATATCTTGACTAAAAAAGCGAATTTTTACCGCTTCTTGGTTGATTGCTGCGTCTTAGTTCGATCGATCCTGACGATGTCGCCGTTCAAGTGCAGCATTGTCATAGCAACCACTTGCTCAGTCCCAGTCCTTTGATGTCATACAGGTATTCTCATTAAAATGTATTTCCCACGTTTGTCCCACGGAACTTAAAAAACACAGACAAGACGCGGTAACCAGAATTAGCGGCTTTCATCCTATAACTTGAAGATTCGTACGCTCAACTACAATTTATTCGACATGATAGTTATCTTTGTGAAAATGTGTAAACTGAGATCGTGTGAAGTGTCCAACAGAAGAAATGGTTTACTGGCGCCTCCAGGTAAATAATCAGAAAACCTATTCGCTTACATGTTGCTATTAATAGTTTGTTACGTACGTATGTAAATGCTCGTGTGTTCAAGTGCGCGAATGTAGCCTGAACGACAAACGCATGAAAGTGTGAGAAAACGTATGTGTTGCAGGTTTTAACCGAGTACAGATTGGGCGATAATCAAACGAATGTAGAGCGATAACCTAACGATTATAATTTCAAAGGACATAAAACAGAATAATCAAAAGAACTTCACTCATTAAACGTTCTGGAATGCACATCTAACGACTTTGCCGAACGACTTGAACGTCCTGGAACGAAATTTCGAACGACTTTTTCTAACGTTTTGAACGACCTTGACTAACACCTTTAACGGTTTCTCTAACGCTTCTAACGGCAAGGCAAATTTTTCTAACGGTTTTACTAACGGCTTGAACGCTTTCCCAAGCCGTTGTAACGCTTAGTTAACGGGTTGTTAATGCTTTAAGCCGTTAAACGGTAAACCGTTAGTGTACGTTTTCCTGGAGAAGGTCACATTTTGCTCGGATGGGGCAGTTGCTTCCTTGTTTTTTAAGTTTATGACTTAGCTAGAGGATTACTTGCCAGGCTCCTGCTCACTGGGCAAGGGAGAATAAAAGGTTACTTGCCAGAGAGTAAAATCTACTCATTTTAGAGAATGCAACAAACTTTTTTAAAGCCCTGATTAGTCCGTGGCCATCGATCTTGCCAGCCAGTGGTGTTTTTTTTGCAAATGATTTCTATGTGTTCTTTAATATGGCAGTGTGTACTATGAATGTGATGTGTTAAAATTCCTTTCACTAGGATCTTCCATTCAGGAAGGGTGAAATATTGCTTATTGAGAGCGTTACTCGGGTAAGTTGCATTGTCAAGAGTACCAACACTTGTACAATTTATAATAATTATTGCGGGCAACAAGCAGAGCCCACAATTCTAATCTTCAGGTTGATATTATACTTGCTTGGTATGTACGTAGCCTGCCTTAATTTGGACGTTCACTAAGAATGAATGGAATGTATAGAGCACAATCTGATGATGCTCGTTTTGACCTTATATAACATGAAACTTACACAAAGCACCTGAGTAAGAGCAAGAGCATTTTGACATTCAAACAGAAGCTTGAAACTCGCTTGCACTCTCTAACCTCTGGTTATTTAACAATTATTCCTCGAGCCCGAATGGACTCTGAGTCAATAGCCCATGAGGCCGAAGGCCAAATGAGCTATTGACTCAGAGGCTATGAAGGTGAGAGGAATAATATTATTGTTTTAGTAAAATCCAACTAATTGGTTAAAAATATCGAGACAAAACAACTTTAGCTAGCAAAACGCGATTCAGCTGCCATTGTTTTGGTTTTCAAAGCCAGCACTTTTTGCTACTAGTGGGCTATAACATACAGCCTAGTAGTAGCTCAACCAAGCAGAACACAGTATTGGTAATAGACCACTAGTTACAACCTGTTTCACGCGATACTAACTGAAGACATAAGGCAATAAAAGAAATGCTATGAAAATTTCCAAATGAGTGCGTACCATCTGGTGTATAGGTACTGGTTAATTACCTAAACCCACACATGCACATATAAATGGTAGAAAAACAGGCAGACAAACCTTAGAGAGATAACCTTGATGACCTGTGGCTGAATTTTGTTGGCTTATTGATTTGACTAATGATTTCTCTCCAGGACCCTAACTGGTACAGAGCAAAAAATGCCAAGGGACAGAGAGGAATGATTCCATATAACTATGTTAAAGAGAAATTAGCTAAGGGAGCTGTGAAGCTGGATGCAATGCCGTAAGTCTGGCGTCATTATTCTTCTAATTTATATTACAGTGTACCTTGCCCAGGTGAAGTTGATACATCGCTTAAGCATTTTTTATTATCATTTTGTAGTATTTGACACTGAACATTGTTTCAGGCAAAAGTTCATTCATATGTGGTTCCCTTAAGAACCATTCCTGATTTCAGACCTTAATGGGCAAGAGCCATACCTGTTTTCAGACCAAAACAGCTCAAAACTACTCCTTTTGAAGTGGCACATAGTTTATTAGCTTATGTGGAAATATCCTGCCATGTGTCCATCTAAGGCAGCTTTTCTTTTGAATATTTGGTGTCAGATGGATAATCTGTCTCTAATCTAATAAGAACAGCCATTAGTTCATGTGAAGCTCTATGTGCAGGTGTCCATATGAGGGGGATATCTGTCTTATCCATGAGTGGACTGAGAGTTGGCTGTGTGGAGTTTCAAGAGAATTTTTTGTGAGAGACTTTCTAACAACTTACAGCAAATAATTCTTGTGTTAAAATTTCAGGTGGTTTCACGGCAAGATCTCACGAGAGCAGGCTGAACAACTGTTAGACCCAGAGCATAAAAAGGGATTGTTTTTGGTCCGAGAAAGCCAGAATTTTCAAGGAGACTACACCCTTTCTGTTTGGTATGGTTTAAGTAACAGTTACTAGTCACTGTTTATCGTGAGTGGCATGAACATTATTGTTAACGCAACCAATGTAAATTAACCCATTCGCCTTAGGAGATTTTGCCGAAAAACACATTTTGAAGCTAGACGAGCGGTTTTCTGGTCACTGTTGTGCTATTAAGAGCTAAAACTTGCCATAAAGTTGTTTACAGGTTGTACACTTCGCAGCCTTCTGATCCAGATGCAAGATATTAGCTTGCGAAGTTCGGGCATGCGCATGCAGGAAGCAAAATTGCAAGATGATTGTTTGATTTAAAAGTGACACAGCAGTCTTGACTTTTACTTTTCGCTTTCTCTCCTCCCTTTTTTTCCACTTTCCTTGCCTCATTTTTTTTCTTTTGCTGGGCATTTAGCAGGTTTCATATTGGTGGGAAAAGTTTTTAGGAAATGTTTAAGGATCTTAGGATTAGATGAAAGGAAAGGTATGTGGGTAGTGGAACAAGATTTTCATGGCAATTTTCGGGTCAACGTTACGTGGTTTTTTGCCTTATTCTCTGGTGTCCTTGACTGAATTGTGCTCATTCTGGTATGGTTTGAAAGATCGCTTCACATTGCACACGTTAGTGGACAAAGTTGTCGTTGACCATTAAAACTTAGATGACGTCACAAGTGGTAGAAGGGACGTGGATCTGCACGGGCGGTTACGGGCGGCTCAGGGGTGAATGGGTTAAATCACTTACTTCGAAGAATCTTTAAAAACAAATTATTCAAAACTTTCAAGCCTCATTTGGTAAAATTCTGTAGGGTGAGATTTCATCTAAAGCTGAATACCAACAGCTCATTTGCACTTACCTTGTAGAATAAAGACAAGCAAAATTGTTACTGGTTGAAAGTGCTACCAAAGAGGTTTCTTTACGCCAAAAGACTTTGGTAGTACTTGATAGGGCTGCAACAATACATTTTCTCACAATACAATACATATCTCGATACAGGTGCTACGATACGATACACGATACGATACTTAATGCCGGTTCTAATTCAGCTTTTCCACAAACACAAGAAGACATTTTCCAACAAAGGGCGTATTTTACCTGTAGGAGATCAAGACTGTGTCAGCTGGCAAGTAAATTGGACCTATGCAATGTAGTGCTGCCATCTTGAAAAATACATGTTGGATCGGAAGGATGCGAAGCTATACGTAGCACGGATGGAGCTCTTGTCCCTTTCTTTAATAAATAGCTCTATAGAAGAGCTTGGACTTGCGTAAAGAGTCATTAAACACAGTGAAGGATCATAATATCATGATATCTCGATATGTTGTTCAAATATCGAAAATCGTATCGTGGCAAAAAATAATATTGTGGCTCACCGGTCAGGGTGCAAAGAAAGTCAGTTTTACAGCCTGCCATTCGGCAAGCTGTAGTTAGCATGTACTAGCCCACAAGTCATTTCAACTAGCCCTATAACCCTTTTTGATTGGCAGGATTGATCACACTCCTTCTGTAATTTGAATTTCCCCAAAAAACAGAACTTGCCCATCAGGCAAGTTAAGAACAAAAGTCACTAGCCCGATAGCAAAATCCACTAGCCCCGGGCTATCGAACACGGCTTTCTTTGCACGCTGCCTTTTCACAGGTGTATTGTTGCAGTACCATGTACTAGTACTAGAAATGTTTATACTTCTAGTAATACAATGACACCATCATTGACTTAAGAATAAGAAAGGTTGAATGTCTTTCGGCTCTTTTACTACTACAGCTGTTTGTGTCTGTTATAAGTGCTTGTGCATGGCTCTTTTACGAGAAATAACAAAGCTTTTTTTTTACATTTATTCCAACCAGCACTGGTTCAAAGGTTGATCACTACAGAGTAAGATACACTGATGACAATAAGCTTACTGTGGACGATGAAACCTTTTTTGAAAACCTCACAAAACTTGTACAGGTTGGTGATAATGTTGAAAAACAGCATTCCTTAGTTACCAGTGGTACTTAGAGTACTGTATTCTTTCATCTTCACAATTACCATCAATGCAGCTGCCAATAAGCATGTACACCACATTTAGAAGCTCGAAGTTGTAAAGAAAATACTTTTCTGAAGAATTTGTTGCTGAGTCAGAAAAAAGTTCAGACTTTTTCCTTAACCCTTTAAGCCCCAATATCAACATACAAATTCTCCAAACTGATCTCTATACATTTCCTTTAAGAATTAGTTAGCTGTAAGAGAATTTGATAAAAGATCAAAGTATTTCTCTTAGGTGATCATTTTATTAATTCTCATAACCTCATCTCATGATAATGTATGGATATCATTAGGAGAAAATTGCTGTTGGTCAGTATTGGGACTTAAAGGGTTAATGAATGCACATGTACATGTAGTTACTTGAGCAGATTGTATGTCACCAAGTACCTACAATGACTCAGTGCTGTAGCCTAAATGTGTGACTTAACTTGCTCATGCATCTTAAGCCCCAAATGCAAAGGGGCCCGAAAAGTGGTAGCCCAGACACTTTCCAGCTATAATAGACATTTTTTATTTTACTGAGAATTCTTTAAAAATTGTAGAAAATATCACAGAAAAAGGTGGAAGAGTTTATAAAGTTTGTTTTCATCTCTGTTCTTCATTGCTGGGCATATCAATTGATTAGTTGAGAAAAACTGGCTTGAAATGTTAGGGCTGTCTTTATCTTTTACATTGTAAAGTACAGGGAGTTTGGTGATAGTTTTGACAAACTTGCCCTCAAGTCCTAAACAGCAGATAACGGTGGGCAATTTACTAAAGTGAGCACTGGAAGATAGTGCGGTACACATTGTATTTATGCTTTCTGGGAGGATCAATTTGGGATGAATTTTATTGTTAGAATTCAGTCAAGATGTTATTGCTGATAAGCAGTAACATTGTAGCTTATCTGTCAGAGTTTTTTTTTTAAGGTAGACCCCTATGAAACTTTTGTGTCAGAGCTATTATCCCTAAATATTATATCTATTGTGTTATTAGTGTGCCTTGCTCAGGTCTGACAACAAAACAGTAAAAGAAATAGGCTATTATTTTCCTTTCCTTGTTTGTTTTCTTGTTATTTTGTTTTTATGTTTCTTTCATTACGTTGTTATGGGGCCAACTGTAAACCAGAACTGATAGCTTTGCTCCTCTGTCCATTTATATAGAAGCAGATAAGTAAGAGAGAGAGACGCCATTTTTAATGTTGTTTCCTTTAATAGCATTATGAACACGATGAAGATGGTCTTTCTACCAGACTCGCGCATCCTTTACAAAAGCAAGGCAAATTTGATTTTTCTGTTGATCCAGAATCGTTCAAAAAAGGTTTGTACATGTGATGTTAGCATCTTGCTGTTCATTTTGAGTCTGCAAATTATCCAATGTAACTCACTTTCTTTCTTCTCCTTCTGCACTCACAAAAGCAATTTAAACACTGGTGCAGGTGAAGTTTATAACCATTTCAGAATTCAATTTATTGGGTACTAGATGTTAGGATAATAGTAAAACCCTGTGACTAATTACCTAGATTTTAAGAACCTGTTAGGCTAAAATTTGCCAGTTAAGCCCCTTCTATATAAGAACCTGGATAGCCTATAATTTGAAACAGGTTCTTATTTTCTAAAATCTATGAAAAAACTCTGTACACTCAGGTAATTAAGATAAATCAACAACCAGAATCCTCTTTGGAGATATAGGTGCCTTATCACTCCAACTGCAATTTAAACGTCAATGTTTAAAATTAAAAAAATTGTTATTTATACGATTACAAATTAAAAAAGTTCTTTTTTATTTTTATTTTTCACATAACTTCTAAATTGGTATGCAGACAAGCTGAACCACCTGGAAATACTTTTAGCTTATGTGATTTTTGTATTTTTTTCTTCAGAAAATAAGAACCTATTTAAGAACCTAAATAGCCTAAACTTGTGCTAACTACCATTTTTATAAGATCCTGTGTAGGCTATTTTGGAAAAATCCTGGTTCTTAGTCGTGGGATTTTACTGTGCTTCAACCTTACATTGGCACAAATAAGGTTTTTGGACATTTTCAACAATGTTGAGTCTTCTTAATGAAGGATCCATTCATTTTTCTTGGGGCAGTTGTTACTCTAGCCTGTATGTTATGAGATGGGTCTGTGGTTCATTCCTAATATATACATGCCTCTCTGACTCAATATGTCACTTGTCAAAATTTAATGCAAATAGCACTGTAAAAAAATTATCTGAATTGTCTTTCAGAGGGTTGGAGTATAAGACGTAGTGAATTACAGCTTGGGAAGTCCATTGGGAAGGGAGAGTTTGGAGGTGAGAATAATATCATTGCTCTACTTTACGGAAAATCCCTTATTAAGCACAATCATGTTATTTGTTTCAAACCATCATGTATTCATTCAAGAGCAAACAACTGAAACTTTTAGGGGCCTCCACTATCAACATTAGAACTTCTTGACAATAACCGGTTACCATGGCTGGCGGTCACTGCAGCCCAGCTATGAGCTTATACTTAAACTTTTAGGGGCCTCCACTATCAACATTAGAACTTCTTGACAATAACCGGTTACCATGGCTGGCGGTCACTGCAGCCCAGCTATGAGCTTATACTTAAACTTTTAGGGGCCTCCACTATCAACATCAGAACTTCTTGACAATAACCGGTTACCATGGCTGGTGATCACTGCAGCCCGGCTGTGAGCTAATCTCATGCAGGGCTTTCAGGGCACCCGTCACAGTACTTTGTTCAAACAATGGGAAAAAAGGCTGGTTTGGGAGGGGAGGGGTAAAAAGTAAACTGCTGAATGTTCCAGACACTCTGCAGAAAATCTGTCTTGCTTGAATATCCTAAAATATGCTTCATACTACTGTTATATGGGGTGGTCAGTGTCTGCACTAACATTCTCCTACTGCTGACCACCCTGACAACATGCAAGCTGCTCTTTGCTGTCAACTTAGTACATTCTGTAAGTTATGTTACATTTAAAAAGGAATACTTTCCTTCTGTTATCTCCAGATGTCCTTCAAGGTGTTTATAGGGGTCAGAAAGTGGCAGTTAAGTCACTGCTGGATGACATCCATGCTGCACAATCATTTCTAGCTGAAGCTTCTATTATGACGTATGTTTGAATCTCACAATAGTTTACGTTTTAATTTTTATTGTTATTGTTAGTTGTAGTGAAATAGAAGCTATAGTCGGAATTAGTTTTGCATATATTATGACAGAGATAATTCGGATTTAATTTGTTCATATGAGAAATTATATGGATAACAATTTTTTTTGTGCATTTTTAAATACCCATTTTTTCAACCCATCCTCTTCCTAGACCTGCAGGAGGGTGTGATTCTTGTAACTAGGTTAAGGTATTGTATCTTCAACAGAAACTACTTGTAGTAATGTTACAGTGTAATTTGGTAGATAATAACCTGTATCTCAATCAACAGGAACTTAAGCCATAAGAATCTGGTGAAATTACTTGGAGTGTCTTTGGATGGAAACCCAATTTACATTGTTACAGAATACTGTGGAAAGGTAAGCAAAATGACAAAAGTGTTATGCCTTTCTATACAAGTGACAGCTCATTTGCCAATAACTGAACAATGTAGTACATGAGATTTTCAGAAAGATAAACTTGGAGGTCATCTTTTGAAAATTTGTTTAAAGATAATAACTTACTAGTCACTAACAAAAATGAAATCCTTTTGATTACTGTTACTTGACTGTAACTTTGTGGTTTCTCATACAAAACAAGAGAAGAGACACTTACATGTATATGTAGGAACTCGCTCATGCCAGGGGCAACCTTTACAATGCCCATACATGTATATGTGTTTGTGTATAGAAGTGTGCTTTGTTTTTATGGTAAGTTCAGGGCGGCAAATACTTTTTGCTTTTAGAATGTACTTTATTCAAACAAATCAGAAAGGTTGTCAGCCATTCATTATATTGACTAAATCAATTTCTCTAAGAATGTGACCCTACAGATGTTCAACTTCAAAAAGATGGTCTTTCATGGTATTTGATCTGTCCAGTGATCATATCTGATTGCATGTGGGATTTTGTTGGACGTTGGGTATATTGTAGTTGGACATTGTCTAATGACTGACTGTGATTTTCATCTCTGAAGCTTAGCTTTGGCTATGTATTTGCAGCAAGCAAATACAAAGGTCAGCTCTCAAATTGCAACTTAAAATGCCCTCTTGAATCTTGTAATCTACAGTGCTATTTATTTTGATTGCAGCTTCCATTAATTAATGTTCTTTCTTTTATCTGTTATTAGGGAAGCTTAGTAGAATATTTGAGAACCAGAGGAAGGACTGTCATTGGGCAAAAGGAACTTGTTGGATTTGCAAGGTAGGACTACATGTAAAATTTGAAACTCTGATCATTGCAAAGATTCTTTCCCTCTTGCCCCAGCTGAAGGGTTGAAGGGTTCTCATGGAAAATTCAGGAAGGGTGTATTGTGAGCTCCCTGAAACCCTTTGTCCCTGAAACCCTTTCTCAGAGAACTGCTCCTAGTTGAGAGAATGGTGTGTGGTGGTCATTTCCTCTATTTTATGTTCTTTTTTTTAGCTTAAAAGTTAAATGTTTCGTTTTTGATTGATTGATTTTTTTTTTCAAAATTTTATTTTCCCAGGGATGTAGCAGCTGGAATGCAATATCTAGAATCGAAGCATTTGGTTCACAGGTACATGATCTGGCACATTAGAGGCATAAACAAGAAACACATTATTTTGAAATTGACAAGATGATAATTAGAACATCTCTAACAGTAGAAACTATTGTCAAATCTTACATGTATATTAGAAGGATGACAGAACTCACTTCCTTTAATTATTTTGAAACGTTCTATCATGAATGAGAACATAAAGTCTTATGTTATACTATATCTTTTATGATGACTAAATTATTTTACTAGGATTGATTTTGCTTTATTGTACAATTTGGTGAATTTCTTGATAGGTGAGCTTTCTTTGGCCTAATTGCTAAAATCTGTCATATGATGTAAACATTTCCCTTTGTACCATAAGCATCAGCTGTGTACACATTTCCTACCATTTGAACTTTTTGACTTTAGGGATTTGGCTGCCAGGAATGTCTTAGTACATGACGATGGAACAGCCAAGGTACCTGCAATAATAATATATTATGTCATTATCTTACATACCTGCTTCAATTTACTCAAACTACACTGATTACAAGTATACAATGAACCATGATATTCTGAATGTAATAATTAAAATAATTTCTATACTTAATAACACCTAAGATAGTGAGAAATTTAAATCTCTGCTGCATCTCTTTTTGTAACCAAGCTTGTGACAATTTAAGGATGGCTCTTTCCATATTCTCCAGATGTTGTTTTCCGAGTTAAAATTTTGTTTCTTCAAAGTCAACTGTAACTGTTTTTATGAATGACAGGTGTCAGATTTTGGACTTGCAAGAGAAGCTAACTTCAACTTAGAAGGAGGAAAGTTTCCAATAAAGTGGACAGCCCCTGAAGCTATAAAACATAAAGTAGGTTTAATTGAATTGAATTACTGATAAATCAGGTGGTTCTTGTACACTTCATGTTTGTGAGTTGTAGTTTTGGGGCATTTTTCTTTTTCTTTTTTTAGTTGGCCTTGTTTTTGTTGAATGTAGCTTTTTTCTTTACTTGATTTGCTCAGTAATGACAAACAACAGATAAAACCTCACAATGCAGAACATTAACGACTGATAACTAATAGGGCAACAAATTATTTAATTCACCTATACGTCTATAATGAAGATCTCCATGCAGATTGTCCAGTCATTTCGTAACTACATTCATGAGGACAGGAATATGTTATGCAACATACGTATTATTGTTTGCAAAGCATACTTAATAGAATAATGATTAGCACCAAAATTATAGTATTGCTATAAATTACTACTAAGGTATTAACTTGATATCATATTATTATTATGAATTTAATAAAGAGGGTCAAAACATTCTTGATGTACATCTGTAGCAAGCTGAGGATGAAAAAGAAGAGAAAATTAAATATGTAAAAATATCACACCTGCCATTCACATATTCTTTCACTCTATTTTTTTTGCATCCTCAGCAATTTTCTACACAGTCAGATGTTTGGAGTTATGGCATATTGTTATGGGAGCTATTCTCATTTGGTAGAACACCATACCCTAGAGTGGTGAGTCATGCAGACACATTTTGTGTGCTATATAATGTGAAGCCGACATAACACATCATAGAGAAGGAAGCCTCTTCATCAAAATGTTAGAACAAGAATTTCCTTTGTCAATCTTTAGATTAATGCTATCTATCCAAAATGTAAAGGCTGTGGAAATAAATTTATTTCACAGAACAAATTGAAACTTTTCTTGACGATTTGACATCATGGTATCTTTTCAAGATGAAAACCTCAGTCAGACAGATAACCATGCTGGCCTCATGACAGGAGACTGAGCAATGAGGGTATGACCTCACAGCCTCATTGGCGGTTGAGGGCTGGGTGCATTCAGTGTATTTTGAGGGATTTCCTGATCTTCCTTGGAACTAAATGAGGTCACTATCTTGCAAGAGGCAATGTGATGTTATCGAAGTTTCACTTTCTTCTTGTGGAGGAAATTTATTTTTGCCCCATGGATTCAGAAACCAACAATTTTTATGCACAATGTACAGACTGTGATAAATGTTCATTTCTGTTTTCCCCTGAAGAAGCAAAATACCGGTGGCTGAACAATGATGCACTGTCAATTTTTTGTTAATTTTGATTTATGTATTTTCCTGGCTTACCTGCCAAACATTTTTGCAGTTTATTTTTGGTGTACTGGTTTTTCTTTACGGTTCAGTTTGGATATCAAGCTGGCAGATTATATAAACCAGCAAATCAGATCGCTGAGAAGGGGTTTCCAGGAAAACGTATTATGATAGTGTTTGTTGTGTTTGTGAGTTTTTCCACAATGAAATGATTATTTTTCATATCCAAGAGCAGGCTCCTCACGGGGTCCAAAGAAAGTCAGTTTTACAGCTTGCCATTTGGGCAAGCTGTAGCTTGCATGACTAGCCCAAAAGCTATTTCAAGTGGAGAGCTTGCTCGCAGGCTAGTAGTGATCTTTCATAGACCTATGCAGCAAAGGGAAGGAAGAGGTTTCTAGCCAGAGTTAATATGTGATTTTTTTATGTAGATAGGTCATAGGTCAAGGCATTTGCTCCAAGAGGTGGTAGAAGCCAAATTCACCAAGCTTCTTTCACTAATATTTGGATTATTATTTTTCAGCACATAGACAGTGTTATGGACAAGATTGAAGGAGGATATCGGATGGAATGTCCAGATGGCTGTCCTCAGCGAGTTTACAGTGTGATGAGAGAGTGCTGGGAAATTGATCCAAAGCAGAGACCATCCTTTAAGAAAATATATTCAGAACTAGATCAAATCTACAGATCATTTCTACCAGTTGGTTAGCTAATTATTCAACAAGTGGAATACCATTGTTGTAACTGTTAACAGTAGTTGATTCACTTCCCAAAACAACTTTCAGCATTTCATTGCTAGTCAATGTGACTACTATCTTTCACAATTGGCAGGCAAGGTCTTCTTTTCCAGCAAAGTAGTCATAGGTTGAAGACAGGCGTGCAATGTAAAGTATAGATTTTATGTCAGACGTTTCCAATATATTTAATTTTTTCTGAAGATATGTGAGGAAATGTCATGTTTTGATTATTTTGGTTTTATCCACTAGAATATTTTTGAAACATTAACCAAAATAATAGTAGTATTATATACTATATACTATTATGATATTATAATAGTATTAACTTGTTTTAGTCAGAGGAATAATTCAGTCAAAACCGGTAAGCATCTTTTCTATTTATCTTTCCAGTCAACATTTTTTTATTCAAAGACAAAGATAGTGTTTTAATATTTCAAAAGCAGTTGTTAGTTTGATGTTGGGTAATACTTATCAATATCTGATGCTGTTTTTTGTGATGACTTAAGTCTCTTTGAGGGTGGAAAGTGGAATCCCCATCTTTTTTTGTAAGCTATGTTCATTGACAACAAAAACTGTACAAAAAGTACATAAGACCAGCCTGAATTCAGGTTTAAAGTCACTGTGAACAATGTTAATCTAAAACACAAATAAGATGTTCCATTTGTTTTTTTATCTCATTGTATGCGATACTACAGTGTCATCAAATTAATCATGTCTCCTTTCCCCTGCCCCATGCAGTGTTTTATGGTGCTCAAAAGCGATGCATCCTATCTTTGTGTTAGCCAAACAACATGGGAAGAGGGGAGGGGGGGGGAATCATTCATTTAGTGACGGATTTTTAGTCAGGATAACAACAAAAAGTACATTAGATATTTTTCCAATTTGACCCAACCAGGTTTGTCTGAGGTTGAACCTCTCTGGGACTTGAGCACAAGAGGCGCAGAGTAATATTGTAACAAGCAAGTACCTACAGCTATAGTGAAGTGATTTGGGACAAATAAATGGTTGCAAATCACTGCAAGACTTCCTGCACGCATGTAACATCCCTTTACCTCTTACGCAAGACAACCCACATTTTAAGAGAGCTTTCTCGTGGGCTTATGTATAGATCACTTGCAGCAAAAGTGAAGGTCACAAACATATTACATGTAACTTTAACATGCATATAAGACTCTAATGTCTAATTTTTCAAAAAGTAAAACTCAACCAGCAGAGCATCACGGGAAGCCTGATAAGTTTGATGCATCACATGATCTGATGATAGAATTTTGAAAAGTCAAAATTTGCATTGTGTTATTCTAACGAGTGCTATAACTTCAAGTGTGTGCCTCTCCCTACCTTTGGTGTTCCAGCACTATGTATGTAGTGTATCTTGTTGACCTAACTATTGCTTGTGATACTTAAACTGCTTCTTAGATAGTTTTCTAATTGATTAATCTTGTCATTTTATATTTATTTTTTGGTATATTTTGCTTAACAGTTTTATTTTCTTTCTGATTTTCTTGTATTTTTGTTTTATGTGTAAACACCCATTAAAAAGCCAGCATCCAAACTCTACATTGCAGGGTTGTTACTAAGATTTCAAGTTGCCGGTTAAATACAACAAGTAGGCGGGGAATCAAACAGCTAGGGATTTCGTTTGGTTCTATTTTCTTCTATTTTCCTATGAAAGCAGCCAGGGGGCCACGGTCATAGTAGCCGGGGGAAATCCCCGGCCCCCACCTCTTAATGACAGCCCTGACATTGTGCAAGTATTTTGTGAGAGGATAGCAAGTTGCACTTTGAACATAAAAATCTTGATCTGAAAATTTACTTGCTTTCTTCAATGCTTTGCGTGTCCTTTTCTTTTCCATAAGGTTTTTTACTACCGTGTCGCTTTTACTATTCTGTATTTACAGGATAATTTGTGTAAAAAATAATCAAAGTTAGTCAGCAAACAAAACCAAACCAAAAATATCTCTTCCACATAACCCCCATACTGTTAATTCAAGAATTTGCAACAACTTGTTACATGAAAATGTTGCATTTTCTTTTATTGGTGATCCCCAATATGCCTGTATTTTATACCATTCAGATGAACTTAAAACAAAAATTCTTATTTTCGTAAGCCAAATTGTAAAATAAAATTTTGATAGGTTTCCAATTTTTTAAAGTAGCCTCTGCATTATTGTCGTCATTATTTTCATGAAAAATCTACTATTTTAGTCACTGATGTAATTTTTGTTTGAAGTAATAATTGCCCCAATCTTTCCTGAATTACAAGAATCAAACTTCAATCATATCTTTACTGCCTGAGTCACTAACTTAATTATGGAGACAGGCGATTTGTCTCTTACAACTTTGTCTGTGGATGAAACTCTTTCAAACGAACACGACTGAAAAACTAAACCTTTTTACATTATCTCTCAAAATTATTGCATCAGTTGATTAGTTTTTTAACTTCTGAAATATCATGTTTTCATGTTCATTGATTAGGATAATGGAAACTGATTTTGAATTTTTTTCTTCTCAAGTATCATTGTTTTATTCTTGTATGTAACTAGAGGAAAGGGGTAAATTATGCTTTTGACATCCAATCAGAGAATTAGTAGTAATCTGCGTAGCACTGTAGAATTGAATTACTGTTACATAAGTTAGGGTCAAATTGCGTGAATAAATCAAGTCAGAAGGCTTACGTTTCCTAACGAAGTTTTGTGTACCTATGTATCTTATACTAGGTTTTTGGATAATTGAAATTATTGGTTTCCCACCCCATATGATGTAGACTCTTCCCGTTTATTAAAGTCATGCCCAGGTTGAATTTGTTGAAGAGGAAAAAAATTTTAAAAATGCTCTTTGTTTGAGTGTCAATGTATCTAGCACGAAAACGAAAGTGCTAATTGGGGACACTATAATAATGTGGGACGGGACCGCCATTTTATGTAGTCATCGGAGCCATGCAGGGGAAAGATAGTACCTTCATTTCTCAGTTATTTTAAGACCCTCAGTATTGGTCCAACCCCGGGAATTGAACCCGCGACCTTCCCCTCTGCAGTCAAGCGCTCTACCGACTGAGCTAATCCTGCTGCGATTAAAATTATATGTTTAGTCAAGCCTGCAATTTCGTATGATTTGTTGCCTCCCATGAATAAACATCCTTTGTTGCATCCTTTGAATATTAAAAAAAATGCCTTCTCCCCCCCCCCCGCCAGAACATGGAATTTGCAGATACAGTCAAAATTCCATGTGCGATCACCTCTGGCAAGTAACCACCTGGCAAAAGAGGGGACGTCGTAAACACCTAAACTTTCCGAGTCAAAGCTTAACAGTTGGAACCACCACCACCTGTAAACGGCCACGGCCACTTTTCAGGGCTGACTGTTTAATAATTTTCTATTGTTTTTAACCACTTGTAAGCAAACTTTTGACACATGGTACAATTTCTATGTTTGCTGTATGTACTATGCTACTGAGAGGATACTAAGAACCTAAGTAACAATGTGGAACTCTACATAAAGTAACTTAGAAATTGCGTACAATGAATTATTTTCCAAAAGTAGGTGTCTCTACTAGACATCTTGGAAGAGACCTCTTGTGGTTTAACCAATAAAACTTGTATTTTGGGTGGTCGCTTATGGGAGGATTGACCGTACCTGGAAAATGATGACGAAGTGTAGTCTCATCCAGATAGACTGGTTGATGACTTTGATATGAAGTGCTTTACTTTGAACACTTTTGCCATCAAATTGACAAATCAACAGTTCTCTTATCCGCCATAGAAATGACATCAAAATGTTCAAAACTCAAAGTCAAAGAGAAGTGGAACCACAAGCTGCAAGCGAGTGGTTTCACTGCACAGTTTCGCAGAAAACCACACGCAAGGAAAAGAGAAAAGCAAGTTGCGCCATCATCCCATCATTTCCATGACCTATACTCTCATCAAACATAGCTCTTGACCATGTAAAAATTAACAGCTGTGTTATTGTATAAATGAATTTGACAAGAACTTCACTAAGGTACACTTACAGTAATGAAAATTAATATAAAGGAGTGTGGGAGGCTAGCGAGCAGAAACAAACAAAAGTTCACAAAATTGAAATTCCTGACCTCTAGCTCCCTTGCTCCCTTGCTTGTGATGGGGGTACTAAAGAAATTTTGGGATGGTAGGTGTCAATTCTGTACCCCACTAAAGAAGGAGATTGATTTTCTTGAACAAAGTACTGTAGAAGTAACCACCAATAGGAATCATCTGCTGTACGGACCAATGTAACACAGTAGAACAAGACCCTGTGCAAAGCAAAATCTTGTTTCCTACACCATTTGCATGATAAAGTAACGGAAGAACATGCCAACCTATAAACTGCAGAGTTTGTTTAATAAGCACTGACTAAGCCTGGTCCAGCAAAATGAAAAAATGTCATAGATTATAAAATTTATTGTAATTATTATCAATCAGCAGCAACAAAATAATGCATCACATTCCTTCTTGCATGGCAGAGGGAGTGGTTATCAACTTTAATTTGTGATAATTTGAAAAACAGGAAACAGAAAGAACTACAGTAATATCAACCTACCAGTAAATACCATCCTCAGAGACCCAGGGGCAGTAAGTTAGGTCAGGAGAAAAAGTATGACGAAATTTTTTAAGCACTGGTGGGCAACCATGCTTGAAAATTAAAAATTTGGTCTCCAAGGATGACTAAATACATGTACACAAACTTCAACACAAATTTGCCTTTCAATTTAAAATATTATTTACTATTAATACTATAATAAGGACTATATATGACATGAATGTTTACCTACTGTATCTAAGAAATGCATATTTGGGTGGTCTAATGGCATAATGATAGTGACTGCAGTTACCAAGTTGGGGATACAAATAACAAGCAGAGGCAGAAAGAAACAATCATACTGACTTGACCATAACAGATGAAAAACCAAACTCTTCAACCTGGCACATCCACCTTCCTGTCAAAATTCTGAGCCCCTCTGGGAGTGAAGAGTGTGCCTGTAAATCAGCCTAAAGACTCCAACCATAGGAAGGAGTCCAGCTCAGTCAAATTCTTCGACAAAATTAATGTGGTAGGCAGAATAACTGGAGTAGCAGGTGGAAAAGGCTTAAACTTGTGTGGTTTTGATTCAATAATGGTGAGTTTAAGAAACAGGAGGGCAGAAAGTAGAGGACGACAAAGTGCTTGTGTGTAACAAATGTGACAGGGCTAATACTTGCATGTTTTGTTGTGATCTTCACTTAACATTAATGTTTTCTGCCCTTTTACAAAAAAATCTGTTTAAAGGAAAATGAAGTTTAAGGCAAATTGTTTTTAAGCAAAATTGTCACGCTTGTCACACAAGGTTTGCCACCTTCTTTGCTCTCCTGTCCTGATGTGTATGTTCACTATTATCAAATCTAAGGGTCCACTAGGTGGCAATTATTCCATTGGAAGTGGCAGAATAATGCTGGCTGCCGGCTCATTTTGACTGGGTTAAAGGCATGTCTATCTTGCTTTTACAGGGAATGGATGACTGGAAAATGAATCAGCCAGTTACATCCCTGTCACTAGAAAGAATTGTCATACATATGTTTTTCAGGAGCTTGCTTATGAGCAAGATACAGAAATCCAATACTAGACAGTGCACTTATAAGGAATATAACATCAAACCAACGATGGTAAAAATTAAACTGCAGTTCACCCAGTACTTCTGTTATGATCTCCCGGTAGTTAGCAGGCATGTTCATCCTCATCAACAAAACCGAGGACACAAAGTACATCCCCATGATTTCTGCTAAAAACAAGACAATAATGTTGGAAGATTTGCTACTTGCCATGGCATTGAAAAACTTGGTCAAAGTGATAAGAAGACCTCGTATTGATGTCACAATTAAAATTCCTATTAAGAAGAATGAAATGTGTTGTGACCAGAATAGAACATCAAACTTCCATCCAAGGTAATTGACAGTTATTTCAATACCACGCGTGACAGGATCCGTTTTGCCAACACGGTCAAATACAATGTTCACTGTTGAGATAAAGATCTTCCAAATACAATAACCTGAAAATATATGCCCAAGAAAATCAAAGTATTTTCCTTGCAATGTCTTGGACAAATCTATTCTATCTTTAGTGTTATGTAAATCCACAATTTCCAGGAATAACTGTCGGCTGAGTTCTTCCAAAGCATCTACTTCCTTTTGTAGATAACTTGTATCAGGCATACCACTTCCTTTTAAGCCACTGAGCATGCTCCAGATTCCTGTGGAAGACAAAGTGAAAAACAAAATTAATGATGTTACATGCTGGCAGGTTGGGGGCAGGAGTTCTTCATAAGGTGCAAGGTGCAGTCAGCTGTCCTAAAAGATTAACTTTTATGGACATGTTTTTGCCTCGAAAATTATTCCAAAATACCCTGTTCAGCCTCTAACTACTGTCGTAGGGAAATTAGGTTTTGAAAGACAAAATAATAGTTACCAAACAAATACTGGTACCCTTGTAACGTTGAGTGAGGGTTATCTTGAGGGCTGATAGTTGAGTAAACTCCCTTGGAGATGTAAAATGAGCTACAGTGGAACCTCTATATGGAGGACACCCTCGGGTCTAAAGCAAGTTCTCCCTGAATAAAGGCGTCCCCTGAATGGAGGTTGGGCTGGGGTATGTTAATAATTAACCAAGAAATAAAATTCTGCCTTGGAATCCACTGCAGTCTTTATTTCAAGAAGCTGTATAATGTATAAAAATCATGACTATCGTTATGATGTTGCGTGTTGAATTCGTGTTTTGAATGCTGTCATCATTGTGACTAGTGAACATTTAAACTTATCAATAATTTTCGTGCATGTGATTAGTCACTAAGGTATCCCATGGATGAATGAAGGTGAAACCCAGGTTTCGGGATCCCAAAAAGGTGTCCCTTTCCCCTGAATAGAGGCGTCCCTTCAATCGAGGTAGCAAATACAAAGATTACGTGAAAATTTTTACAGGACCAAATTTTGTGTCCTCTGAATGAAGGTGTCCCATGAACAGAGGTGACCCAAAGAAGAGGTTGCTCTGTATTTTTTAAAATACTTACCTGTCTTCTGTTGTGTTGCTGCAGCAAATCTTTCACTCTCACGCTTCGCAAGTGCTATTCTCTTTTTCTTACTTAGAATAATATCCATTGTTTGGAATTGTCTCTTTTCAAGATTATGAATATCAGCATCCGTAACATGTCTCATAAAATACGTCATGTAAGTGTAGGGACAGTTCACTGCACCAAATCCAGATAATATAGCCATCATTGTGACGCCTATAACACCCACCCGGCTGATCCCTTGTTCGATTGAAAAGATTCCATGTTTGGAACTTAAAATCGGAAAGGGATTCCCAATTTTCCAAAACATATACAAGAAAGCAATCCAAAAGAAACCAGCCAACAAACCTATCGTGGACCTGCGATGGACGAAACGCAATGTTTTGACCAAGAAATAAGATATGTAGTACGGAAGGAGAAATATTAGAGTAAACAGCATGGAATAAAGTCCAAGTTTCCAGTGAAAGAATCGAGAACTCTTGTCTAAAACTCCCAAAATTTCGAAAATGACCAGCTCGAACATGGTGCAAGAAAGTGAAAAGGTCACGGAGAATACTAACTGAACCGCCACGTGGTGAACTTCATAGTTCCTAAATAGTCTTCTCATAAAAAATATCCACCCCATGCCAAAGAAGAAGAATTGTGAGCAGAAAACAACCGAACAATCCGCGAAAAACGACATTTTCCTGCCACGTCTGTGGAGAAGACGATTGTGACACGACAAGTAACGAACACTGAACGAAGTTGTTACGAAGTCAAACCGAGCATTCAACGCTGCGTGTTCACTGCGTGACGTAATGACAAATAATTCCTGAATATCAATTTGACCAATCAGATCGAAGAGTGGGGATTTCAAATGCGATGTCCCAGCACGCGTTGTTCAAAGACGAACAGATCATCGAAAGAAGAATCACTGCGGTTCAATTCTTCACTGAAGTTAGAAGATTCCACAGCGTTCGTCTACATTTTAATTTTTATCAAGCCTATTTCGAAGACTAGTGTACATTTCTAACTGTTGAACTCATTATGGCAGCCGTTGGAAGATTAGGAAACGTAAGTCTTTCTGTGAAACGTACACCGTGTTGACTGTTGTTCGAGCCTAAGAAGAAGTTCTTGCTAAGAGAAAGAGTTGTTCTTACGTTCTAAATGTCTCTTGTTAGATACAGGTTATTCACCAGGACCAGGAGAACGAACATTTGTTGGCTGGCAAAGCGAAGTTTGCAAAGAACGCGAGACCTCGTGCTGCTCTAGGCGACTTAGCAAACAAGCCTACAGCTTTCGCGAACAAGGTAAGGCTAACTGTGGAGGCTTAGTTTATAAATTTGTCTGGAAATGTCCATCAAGCTTGCGCTTATATTTCGAATTCAACGTTCGACTTTAAAATACGATGATTTTACCTGTTTTTGTAACTAAAATTTCTTTGCTTTTAGGGCGCTGCCATCAAACCCAGAAAACCTTTACACAGATCAGATGCGAGCACTGCCTTGGTTTCCAAGCAAGCGAAGGAAAATGACGCTAAAAGCAAACAAAAAACAATCGACGTGGACGTCCTAGGAGAAGCGTTGGAGTCGTGTGTAATCTCTAAACCTCCAAATGTCGAAGACATTGATAAAGACGACCATGGAAACCCGCAATTATGTGCTGAATACGTGCAAGACATTTACAACTACATGCGCAAACTTGAGGTGAGGATGGTAGGAATTTTGTCGCTAGCTTTAAAGTTTTCAATAAGCTCTTTTGCAAAACGTGTTGCAATTTGCTAAAAAAGCGATAATGGATTTGCACATACTCGTTAAAATGAAAGAGCAGCAAAGAGTTGTTGTGAGGGTGAAATAAGCTTGCTATCCTTCCCTAGTCAAACATCGTTATTAGTTATGCTGTGCTTCTGCTAACTGCAGAGCTTACAGCAAATGCACTACCGCCAGTGTATTGTAAACCTTCTATATTTTCGCTATGAACTTGTATATTCACTTTAATTATTTAATTTTTACAGAACGAATTTCACGTCTCGCCAACCTACATGAGCCAGAGAACAGTAATCAATGAGAGAATGAGAGCTATCCTGGTCGACTGGCTAGTGCAGGTGCATCTACGTTTTCGGCTTTTACAGGAAACTCTCTTCACCACAATCTCCATCCTGGATAGATTTCTTTCTGTAAGTAGTGTTCATGAATTTTCTCAGTCTGAAGTCTTCTAGTTAAATATTATTCATGCATTTGATTATATATATGGAGAGACTTGCATGTTAGAAATTTTTAAATTATTATAATTATACTTAAAATAACTATTATACTATAATTATTTTATCTATTAATTTCAAGTTGTTTTCTTGCATGCAGGTTTATGACTGCAGTAAGGCAGATCTTCAGCTTGTTGGTGTCAGTGCCATGCTTTTAGCCTCCAAATACGAGGAGATGTATGCACCAGAAATTGGTGACTTTGTCTACATCACAGACAATACATACAGCAAAGCTGAAATCAGAAAGATGGAAGCTAAAATTTTCAAGACTCTTAACTTCAGTGTAGGAAAACCTCTTTGCCTTCATTTTTTGAGGCGAAATTCTAAAGCTGGAGAGGTATAGTGTTAAAAATTACTTTGCAGGGTATTGAAACTATGATGAGCACTGGACAATAAATATCATTTATTAAATATCATAAATATCATCATTAAGTGACAGTGTTCCCATGGTCCACCAGGGAAATGCAATCTATTTGAAATAGCAGGCTAAAAGAATGGGGGATTAAGCTTACAGAGGGTCAGGAAAGGCTCTATTTTCCTTGGAAAGTCAGGGAATTATTTTCATTGTCAGGCAACCACAGATTTTGTGAAACTTGACTCTGTAAATTATATCATTATATGGAAAAATTGAATTAATTAGTCGTAGGAAGTCACAATAGCTTATAAAATGGATGAGTACAGGACAATAAATATTTTTAAATATCATGAATAGATATCATTAAGTGTCAAACACTGTTCCTCTGGTCCACTAGGTAAATGCAATCTATTTGAAATAGTGGGCTGAAAGAATGGGGGATTAAGTTTGCAGAAGGTCAGGAAAGGTTCTATTTCCCTTGGAAAGTCAGAAAATTATTTTTATTGTCAGGCAACCACAGATTTTGTGAAACTTGACTCTATAAATATCATAATATGGAAAATTATTGAGTTAATTAGTTGTAGGAAGTCACGATAGCTTATAAAATGGCTGAAAGTTTTGCCTGTATATCCTTTTTAGGTTAATGCAGCAAAGCACACCTTGGCAAAATATTTCATGGAACTAACCCTCATTGATTATTCATGCGTTAAGTTCCTGCCATCTGAGATTGCTGCAGCATCACTGTATCTCGCAATGAAAGTGGATGGTGATTTCGAGTGGACTCCAACCTTGGAATACTACAGTTCATACTCCAAAAGTAAACTTCTACCTTGTGCCAGACAAATTTCTCTTCTTATCACAAAGACTCTGGATGGAACTGCCAAACAAGTGGTTAGTGACTTTTTGCATGTACAGAAGACCATGAATGACTGTTGTTATTAATAGCACTTTCATGTAGTTTAATTTATTTTCACTGCATACATTGTAAACTCAAAAGCAGTGGGAAAGATTAAGGAAATGTACAAGCTGATGCACCCAATTTAAAAATAACCTACAATGTATGAAAAGAAAGAAGTGATTGTTTAACTAACACAAATAACCCGAAAAAGTAAGTCAATATAAAATGGACATCGTGTTTAAAAAACACCATCAATCAGGGTTCACACAGTCTTGAAAAGTCCTTGCATTTTCTTTGATTTTTTGATATAGTGGTGTGGAAAATGTTTTTAAAAGCTTTTTGGTTGTCAAAGACAGAACAGAATAATCATAGCTCAGAGAAATTATAAGTGATTTACATAAAGCATTTTTTGTTTCATGCTATCATTTTAAGTAATTAAAGTAATTTTAAGTAATTTTTAATTCATTTTTGTTTAAATTATTGAGTAAGTATGAAAACAGTTTATAAATCTTTCCATCTTCGCTTTTCGCCTCAATTTGTGAAACAGCTCTAATTAAAACCTCTCATAAGTCCTATAGTTTCTGTTAAATATTTTTTGTAATTAGTGTGGCAAATAAAATAAATAAAATAAATAAAAATAAAATAAAGTGAAAAATGTAGGGTAGTTGGTGGAGACTACAGTCCAATCCTTAAAGTCCTGTTGGAATGGACTGGGAAAGTGCATTTTTGTACAATCTGTGAAAGTAAATTCCTGAAAATCAAATGTGGTCCTTGAAAAGTCCTTAAAAATGGTTACAATATTATTTGAATGAACCCAAGTCTCAGTGACATAATGGCCAATTCTTAGTGACATGTAGGTGATCAGCATTCAAAAAAAAATGAAAGATGTTAAACTGTGTTTAAAGAGCACTTTGATGACCATGATGCAATGCCCAAGTATTAGTGACATACAGGCAATAAGGAAGGAAGTTGTCGCGTGTCACTTTAGTTGTGAAGATTTTTTTATACTTACCTTGTTACCATAAACTGGTTATCCTGAGGGAGTTGAACTCTTTTTGTATGCAAACATTAATTTTTGAAAAGTTATTAAAAATTTACAAGAGTAGGTAAAACTGAAGGTGTTAGGGTTAGAATTTGATAACCTTTAGTCACACCTGCACACCTTCTCAAACTAAACTCTTTCACTTGTTTCCATGAATAAACATAGTTACTTGTCAAGTGAGTGAAAAATAATGCTCTTTTTAATCTTCATTCAAAGGTGGGGGATACTGATTGACAACTTAATTCTAAATTTTAAAATTTTGTTTGCAGGCTGTCTACAACAAGTACTCAAGCAGCAAGTTTATGAGCATCAGCACACTGCCTTGCCTTCGTTCATCATTTATTACTAATCTTGCTTCTGAAGCATAGATCATCAGAATCACATAATATGTTTGAACAATGTTCAGTAGGATCAATTCAATGAACTTTCTTGAAGCTCTTTGTTCTCGTAGAGGGAACTTGGCAAAGTCTGAGAGTTGCACGTGCTGAATTTACCAAGAGATACAGAGTATACTTGGCATTCATTAAGAATTAAAACCTAGAGCCACTGTTTGTAAATATTATGCTGACCTTTCTTCCATGCTTTTTCAGTCTTACCTAATTTAAACACTGCACTGCGTGCAAGTATTAAAATGTCATGCTAACAGAAGTGATTGCACCTGAGCAGCCAGAAATGTATTTGGAAAATCATTATAGGTCATAGCCAATTTTTTTATGATTTATGCTGTAGTTGTTAGTGTTATAGAATATTGGTTATTTTCATTTCAAATATTTCTGTAAATTATGTACATATTTTCAAAGTAAAATAAACATCTTTTTAGTAACTCCTAATTACCCTGTAACTTCTATTTGCACTTTTTCCCCTTGGGCTGTAGTGGGAGAGGAAAAGAAGATAAAATTCAGATAAACGCCTTCAGCATCTTGCTACAAAATATTCAAAAGTTTTTGGAGTACCCCCTCCCCTGGAGATACTCCTGATCCTGTGGAAAAACAGGAAATCCTTCAATATAATTATTAGTTTTCTTAATGTTTCCATGCAAGAGCAATTCATTGTTCTCAGAGGCCACATTACCTTTGTCCATCAGAAGAAGGGTATGAATGCACATTGCTCTTCACTCAGAAATGGAGGTTTTATTACCAGACGTAACTAATCGATGACATTAATGAGTAATCAATAGGTAATTGATGGGCAATCAGTTTTAATTAATTATAGATTAAAGTATCTGATATTCAATGAGTGATCGATGAATAATCCATAGGCCACAAAATTTTTTGTTATCGATCAGTCTATGATTAGTTGTCAATAATAATTATAATCTTGTGGGTATGCAAAGCATACCAACTCAGAAATAAAGAAACAAACACTTCTTTGACATAAATGTCACAATTCAAGCTTAATTTATTTTATATGGTAGGCACTTTGCAGTGGCTGTTTCCCCAAAGAATCTGAATGACCTTCTTAACCTGAGCCAAGACCGCGGGGACAGGGGTACTCCTGGGAATTCTCAGTAGGGGTGCACTGCCTGATTCTCAAAATCCTGACTCTATTTCAGACCAAAAATGTCAGTTTTCACACCCATCTTTATACCTGGCCTCTAAGAAATTATGTCATCATTGCTTAGATTAGAACAGCATCAAAGATTGTGCTGCACACATTATCTGCCCCAGGGGGAGGATCTGGCTCCTTTTTTGCTTTTTCACATTCATCAATTGTCTAAAGAAAACATTTTGAAATGTGGAAGCAAAGCCAACTAAAGTAGTAAAAGCTGCTTCTGACCAGTATCTTGGGATTGGTAGAAAACTAGAAATTGCTCAGAATGCAAAAAGTTCCTCAAACTGAAAAAGTTGCTGGAAATGCGAGAAGTTGCTCAAGCCTCAGTACCAGAAATTCATTAATATAGTACGCCAATTCTACTCTGGATCCTATCTAGAACTTGCAATTACATGCACTGAGGGAACTAACACCAGTTTGAACTTTCTGAGTTCCTTCCATTGCATAGGATCTTAGTTTCACCCATTTGTTAAGTACACACAACAGGGTATTCTCTTTTAAGCAAGTTAAGAAATAAAAAAATAACCCACAAAGCCCTATGGCTATACTTGGCTCCATTTGGTCTGGAATCTGGAGGGGGGGGGGGGGTCCCGATCCTGCTTTCCTGCTCTTTTTCCACAAAAATCCTGCATCCAACTATTTTTTCATAGCTTTCCCAAATTCCTCTTTTGTTTAACCAAAAAAAGGTTAGAAGGTGCACTCAATTTTAATAAGGCATACTCTACAGTTTGGTGTGGTTTCATGGATTCCCAACATACAGGCAAAAAATCCCTCATCCAGTGCTTAAATTTTAACGAATCCCACTTCCCAGGTAGCTGTAAAACCCTGTTTCCCGTTAAGATGTCTTGCATTTTCCCGAATCCTGTACTGTACTTTGGTCAAATCCTCATCAATTCTGGATCCCCAAAATATCCTTCCATCCTTGGAGACCCAGGGGCAGATAGTGGGGGCAAGGGAAAGTCTAAACGGGCGGAAAAATATGGCACGAAGAAAAGTAAAGAACGGCGAGAAGAGCCCCTGGGGACAATGTCTTACCAGACCAGTTCCAAACGGTCGCTGCCGTTCTGACTTCTGATTGGTGCCAGAAAACCACAAGTTTTCTGGCACACATATTGGTCTGAAATGCGATCCCAGGCTATGGGACCCAGGAACTAAACAAGGACAACCTAGCCTTCAATGCAGGCATTTTTAGGGGTTGTAGTATTTCCTCCCTCCTCACAAACCAAATCGTCAGTTTGTGGGAAAGGGGGAAATATGAACGCCTGCATGGAAGGGTACCTTCAACCGGGCTGTCTCATTTTCATAGCAGTCCCTAGTCCCATCTCTTCACTACTTCCATAGTAACAATTTCAATGTTTTTTAAAAGCGGCATAGCTAGGTTACCGTGATTTTGCATCATTACAATTTCCTTTGCTAATAATGAAATGTATTCACATGAGAAGACGGGCTTAAGTGCTGTTAACAGCCAGGTTGACCTCGCGTTTATTTTACCTGTTATTCTACCACTGTTTAGTAAGTAAACCAGAGGAAGTGATGAAAATAGAGCCTACAACTGCTCCAAACGTCATCGCAGTCAATGCTATCCAAGATCTGCCGGGATTTTTGTGAACAATAGTCAAGTTGTTGGTGGTAACTATGGGGTTGCAAAGATTTCCCACAACTAAGGAAATCAATATTGATAACTCCCAGGGAATTAACCTGTGAACGGGTTACTACGAAAGCAATAGAGCTAAGGTTTTTTCCAATCAGAAGACTTAGTTTGGAGGTGAAAGTTTTTTTTTAATCAAAGCTACATCACAAAGGATGTCAAAAATTGGAATTCTTTCTTAGACTAGTGGTATATATAGATAGGGTACCTCTGTTTGTAAAATGATGGATGATGAATGGTGTAATAAAAGCACACTGCGAGACACTCTATAGCACACAAAGGAATCACTTCTTAGGCCCGGTTCAGGTGCCGATCTTTTCATGAGCCGAACTTAATACATTGAATTAAGTACATGAAAAGCTCAGCATCTGAATCAATTAGGATGCCCATTTCAATTTGGAATGGCTCAGCCATTCTTTTTGCCTAGCCAGCCGGGAATTTCGCCTTTGGAGTGACTTTGGAAGGGCTATGATTCAGACGCGAACTTTTCATGTACTGAACCTAACCCATAAATTATTATAACGTATTTTGCACGCAGTTTGACCGAAATGAGCATTTTTTGCCTTTTGAACTTAGTTCAGCTGCGATTAAGATCGGCGTCTGAATCAATTCAGCCGGTCTATATAATTTGGGTAGGCCATAATTCAAATTAGGTTCGGCGTCTGAACCAGGCATTGGGAAATAATAGCATTTCCTTTCCTTGAGCAACAAAGGAAATAGCAGACATTGCACAGGATGAGGGGATAAAATCGAACAACAGCAAAAGTTGTTTTGAGAAGCTTTATTCTTCATAGGTTTAGAAAAAACAAGATTAATGGAGCAACTACAGAGGGTGAATGAAATTGTGATGACAAAGGGAAGGTTAGCTCTACTCAGCTTCCATCGATTCACCTTCCTGTGCACCTGCTTCACCTTCACCAGGCGCCTGAAATAGAAATACCAGTCCTGTGACACAACCTTCACAGGCTTACCACAATACTAGTCTCTCTTAAGTTGTGAAAAGGAAGCGTAAGCAATAACGACGATAAGCAGCAAAATCATCACTTTTTATATGAATTCGCGTTTTCCCAAACTCCATTGCTCGCTAGCTACTCAGTAAGGTTTCCCTAGCTACTTTCAGGAGGAGACACTGTCGAATGGATAATAGGGACCCGAGAATGATGACATCAACGAGAACGGCAAAAAGCAATACTCATCTGATAGGTTTAGCTCAGCAAAACAACAACTTTGCAAGTGCCTCACCTTTTTGGTACACTTTGTTGCAGTCACTGCACGCTTCATAATTTCACATTTCATGAAGGTTGTGATCACAAGACAACGATTGTCTCTTTCTTTTTCTAAACTTGGTTACGGTACTCACTTATTTACTTACTTCAACTCCAAAACATTCACAAATATTGACAAATTGAGGGAGGTGGAATAAAAGCGATACAGGTTGAAACAGCGCAAACTCATTTATTAGGGAAAGTTTTCACTGCCGCCGCCATTGTCGTTGCCTAATTAGGGAGCATAAAGGCTTAAAGACTCCCTACTTAAACTTAACTGAGCTACATAAAAATGAGAATTTGTAATGTTAATCTTTTCCAATAACACAAAACAAAGAAAAGGAGTTTTGCCCAAGGGACTGTTTAGAAACTGGGGTACCTACTTACCATTTACACAGGAATACCAGGAAAAGAGGACATTTTGGTTGGAAAATCAAATGGTTCATGCCTTTCTCTTTGGGAAGCTTCAGTAGATATGGGCTGTGTTTGTGGCAATGCAATTATTTTTCTACTCTGTTTTAGTCTGTTCAGCTGACTTTGATGTAGCAAGTCATTCTCCCACCACATCAAATTTCATATTTTATGTTTATGCACAAGATTTCCACTGGGATGGTTTGTGGAAATGGTAAGCACCCTGGATTTCCTGAAATATGGTACTGACAGGTAACCGTGACAACATGTGCTGCAAACTTACCTCTGATTCTGCCTCCATAGCATCATCAGCAGCCTTAAAACAAACAAAAAACAAACATTACAAAAAAAACATACGGGCCAATTTACAGTCTAGAATGAGAGTGATGCTGATGAAAAAGCATCTGTTCAGTGATTTCTCTGGCTCTTTTTAATTGAAACCTTTTTAAAGCTGCTCTAGCGACCAGTACAGTCAAGATTTTTATTAAAAACTAGTTCTCCTCACAAAAGGTAAAACATAAAATAAGTCATAGGTTTACAGTGCGGAGGATATGGGTCAGGCTAATGGGTTAAATTCCCCTGTTATAACAAAACTTGATGATATTGACACCCAAATGTTGTGCATTAAATTTTTCTCTCGTTAGAAATGTCAACAAGGTCAGGTGGACTTTCAAGAGAAAAAAGAAGCTCGAAGTTAAACACTTTAATAGGCTTCAACGGGATCCAAACCTTTGATGCTGGGCTACAGATACAAAGCAGGTCAGGAAGAGTTTCTCTATCCTGGGCTCAAAAATCCCACTGTACAACAAATACCGTTGTGAACAGGTTATGCGAGGATTAGTTTGCAAGTTTAACTATCCTTATGTGGTGATCTTTACCTCATCTCCTCGCCGCCTCTTTGTTTGATCAATTCCAGCCAACTACAGCAAATTAAGGTCAACATAACTTTTAAGAAATCAAAATAATTTTTGTGGTTTAATATTACCGTTTTCCAGTTAACACAATTTCTTTTACAGATGCAAGCCACATTTAGTAAACACCCTTCTTTTCACTTACTTAGTTCTTGTTTGTTCTCTCTTGTGTCATGGTGAGAAAATAATTATTATTAACCCTTCCAGCCCCAATATCCAAATACAAATTCTCCAGACTGATCTCCATACATTTCCTTAAAGAACGGTTGAGAGAATTTGCTTGTATATCAAAGCTTTCCCCATCAGGTGATTATTTAATTCTCACTTGATTATGTATTGATTTTGTTGGGAGAAAATTGACTTTGGTCACTCTTGGGCCTTAAAGGGAAAATGTAATTTTCTTGTCTTCCAACGAGGAGGGGAGGGTGGTCAATCAAAAGCCACAACATTTCAAGGAAAACATAAAGCTTAAGTGATATTTCGTGAGGGTGAGGGGAGGGGGATCTTAATCTAAGTTTCTTCCCCCAACCCCCACCCCAACAGGAAATATAAGGAAACTTCTTGTAAGGGAAGCATTACATGTTTTCTATTTTCTTTTTTTCAGTGCAGTTGTTCTTTTTATTCAGCAAGAAAACTTGTAATAAATCTTTAGTTCCCAAAGAAAGACTGAAAAGAAGACAGAATGAACCCACCATACATATTCTTGTGAGCCTAAAATTCCCAAAGCCCTTTCTCCTACAGTATCAAGGCTGTGCTCTAAGGAAAATTGAAGGGAGCCCAGTGCTCTGAAACTGTAAAATCTAGGGTGCATAGCATATGATTTGTATCAAAAAACTAAGATTTCCTAGTCGACCGAGAGCAAAAGTTAGGCGCCAGGGGCCACCACGCGCTGCTAGAGCACAGCCCTGAGTATTCAACTACAGTCTTAAGAGCATCCCAATATCTATTCTAGCTGAAAGTCACCAACAATCAGTGCCTGTTAAAGAAGCAATATAGTTGAAAAGGATACATAGGGAGAAACTGCTTCATCACTGTATATAACAAGGTCTTGTCCCTTTCCAACTAGAGCAATAGCACAATTCTACAATAAACCAAAGACGTATGAAAAAACTGATTTCTTTGTTTTCCATTCAACCATTTTTAAATATTGTAGTAAAATAAATATATTTTATGACAAGCCTAAAGTGAACATTTAAAACATAACATTCAGTGACAAAAACAACATTATGACAGGCGCATGGTACATGTATCTTTAAAAAAACCACAGTCTTCACTAGGATTCCAGTTTCTGGGTTAAATGGGGTCCATATGTACATGCAGACATCATAGGGATATGCTGCAATTTTTCGAGCACATTTTCGTTTGGCACAGACTGTGCCCATGAACATGCTCCACTAAAACTGAACTAGAACAGGCGAAAAAACAAGGTCAAGGAGATCTTTAATGGGGGGCATATGTACATGCAGACATCATAGGGAAACGCTGCAATTATTTTTCAAGCACATTTTTGTTTGGCACAGACATGCTCCACTAAAACTGAACTAGAACAGGAGAGAAAACAATGTCAAGGAGATCTGCGTAGCTACCCAAGAGACAGACATTACAGTCAAACCAGGTCAAGCGTTCCCGTCGCTAACAAACTAATGAATTCATTAATGGAAAAATGATTTCGTTTGTTGATTCAATAATCCATTCATAAAATGAATAATCCAACGGTCAAATTGTACCTTGATTCAATAATCAAATGTTGATTTGGTTTATGATAAAATCTACCTGTTCTTTATTCTTGTCTGTTGTGTTCAATCGTATTTGCTTCCCTTTTCCTGCCGTTTACGATTGCGTTTTTCATTGCCTTTAATCAAAATAACAGCTAGAATAGACAGACCGCAAACGCAAAGAAACTGACAAAGGCCGAGGATCGAAATCCACCAATCACTGCACATACACTGACCTCAGTTTGACCGTCGTGTTTTCTAAGAGGTCAGGCCTAGGTCTGTTGCACTGATTATTGGCAGCAAACTGGCGTACATGTAACAGTTTATTTGGGTTTGAACTTCAGAACTCGCCAGCACTCGACTCTCAGAAAAAAAAAGGAAAAAAAAAATTCTGAGGTCAACTTGTGGAAAGTGTAATTTTTCAAAAAACAGTAATCGAATCAACATTCGATTATGGAATCGAGGCTAAATATGACTATTGGATTGTTCATTTTATGAATGGATTATTGAATCAACAAACGAAATCATTTTTCCGTGAATGAATTCATTAGTTCGTTAGCGACGGGAACGCTTGACCTGGTTTGACTGTAAATTTAAAAAAAATCAGTACCAAAATGACAATGCTTGTACGTTAACAGATGCCAAACATACCTTTGTTGTCAGCTCCTGTTCATTAGGAAGTGTTTCTCTCAAGGCTCGTAAACCATGTTTAATTAGCTCTTCTGGTTCACCTTTGGAAATGAAATGAGATGAAATGGATACAAATGATATAAGGATGGGTTAAATACCAACAGGGACATGGCCTGCTCCTTAAAACGTGAAATGACCATAATATATTTGAAATTCAGACTAGGGACATATATACCCCCCTAAGAGGCTCTCACTAACTGCAATAATACTCTCTAGACAAAATAAAATATTAATCTAGTATTGTACTCCATCATCCTGCTATTATATTTGGCATCCCTCAACTATACAGCTAGTAACTGCATTACTTACTGGTAGTTTGGTTGTTTCATTAAGTCACATAATCATTAGAAGGTAAAAGGCATTTCTTACATAGAATTGCAATAATACTGAGTAATGACCTTAAATTCTAAACAAACTTTAGTGACTGTAAAACATGACACACTTACAGTCTGGAAATTCTTCTAAGTGTCTTTCAAGATATGTTCTTGCAGACTGCAAACAAATTCAGTATTTGGTAAGAAATTATACTACAGACATAGGGGATGGGAGACATAAGGATATTACATAGCCGCACTGAGATTCGAGTGAAATATTTTTTCTACAAGAGAAGAGAAATTTCGTTTCTCCATGTAGCCACAGCAATGGTGATATTTCACGTCTGAAGATAACATGCTATTTTTACATGTGAAGATACCATGTTTTCACGAGAACGCTCACCTGGTATTTCATAATTTGGCGTTTACATAATATTAACATTATGACGACAGAACATTACAGGCACTGAATTTTTGTTTTCTGAATCATTTGCCAAAACTATTGTAGGAGCTGAATGGAAATTCATACACTGTCTTGTAGCCGTGGGGGGAGGAGTTCTAACAAATATAAGTGGTATTTCCAAAGAGGAGAGAAGTTAAACTAAAAATATTCAAGGGTTCAGCTCCAAATTGTTTACCATTCCCATGAAAAATTCTTAAAATGAGGGAATAAACAGCTGTCGCTATAATACAAACCAGAGAAAACAACATTTATGAAGCTGGAAATAGCAATATGTAGATTTTATAATGCATATTGTCAATGACACCAATCATGGACTTTAATATGATTCTTAATACTCAGGAACCATTGGCCTGAGAAAACAGCCACCATTTCGGGATGCCACCACTGTTTTTCATGCAAAATGATGTCTGAGGAACTCAACCAATCAGAAGCACTACACAGTTCTGGGTAGTTACACGTGACCAGTAAGGAATTTCTACAAACATTCCTCAGATACCATTTTGCGCAGAGACCAGTGGTAGCATTGCGACACCTGGGTTGTTTTTTCAGGCTAGAGAACCATAATTATAGGATATAATGACTTCAAAACAAAAAACAAGAACTATCTAATAATAATGATGTACCTGTGATCTGGCACCAATAGCCATTGCTTTACAGTCAAAGAAGTTAGCTGATGGGCAAGTCTGATAGATGTGAGGACCCATGTCCTAAAAGGTATAAGACAACTATTTTATAGAAAATCCCTTGAAATGTTAGAGACAAGGTTAGAACCCTTTCTGTCTCCTATGAAAAAGACAGTGCTAGGAAACAAAAGAAATTCTGAATCCAGCTTAACACTGGTTTTAAGTGAGGACGGATTTTGTACACAACACAAGCACCTCCCCCAGATACCTAGCCTGTTCCACGTTCTCCGATAGTAGGGATAATGTGTACCGGTAAGTAAAAGGTACACAAAAATATGAGCTTCCTCCCATTTCATTTTCATGTTCGGTTTACACAATTTTGGGAACCTGACCATCTTGGAGCCTGGAACAGGCCACTAGATACATTTACTCAATAATTCTTATGTCATTTTCATAACCGATATATCTTAGTGAAGAGCATTAAGAAATAAATAAGCCAGGAACATTTGACCTGCAAGGCAGTTAATTACAGGTGGGTTGAAGTGCATTATTTAGGCAAGGGACATTTTAGCACCTGCATGGTGTTGTCTTTGTAAGCTACCTGAAGGGTGGTGCTTTTCTGTTAGGAAACGTATCGATTAGGGAGTGAAAGATGACTGTTTTTTACACTCTTTAAATTCACTTTACACAAGTTGTAAACTGTACAGACAACAAAGCTACCAATTACTAAAAAATCATACTGATGTAAAATGAATTGGGAACAATGATATGCTATCTGGCTGTAGTATTTCAAGACATTTCAAAAGAAATCTTCATTCAACTCTGAATTGTGAGGACCTTTATAAACCTTTCACTGCAAAGGTTCTCCAATTTCAATTTCCTTTTACTTTTGCAAATAATACATTCAGTATTGCATGGACATTCTGCTGAAAAGGTTTCAGGGGAATGATTATACCAGGCGGATTTAATCCACAAATGCAAATGCTAGACCTGCAATACAAGCTTTCATAGCTTACTGACTCTGCAAGTATGAAAGATGATAGCCTAAAATACAGCGTACAATGATTGACCTTTCCTACTTACATCATATCCAGCAACAAGAAGGCCGACTCCATAAGGTCTTCTGCCATACCTTTGAGTTGGAATTTGCATTTCTGATAAACGAGGTTAAGAAAAACTTTGGTTCAATTTTAAGGAGAGGGGCCATTCAAACTTGACAGAAGTATTGAAGATGCAATGGGTAGTCTAAATTCCCAAATAAACAGATCAACATTGGTGATTTTCCCTTAGGATTAACTCATTTGTAAATAATAAAAAAAATTCACTTAAAATAAGGAAGTAAATGTCAGAAAAAGGATACTGTCGCCAACAGCAGAAACAAGTCTTGAGATCGGCAGCCTTCTGTCATATGCATATTTGGAGTCAAGGCATTCACTACGCATAAATTTACTGAAAATAAATGACAATGTATTTCAAACAGGGAAGTTAGTCACTAAATAGAGCTAAAAAAACGGCAAATTTATATGTTATATGCTCAGGTTATTTTTCCAACAAATTACTGTCTATGACAGAACTGCTAGACTTTCTTGGGCAAGATACGTTAAATAAATCTTCTTGAAAGTATTTCTCTCAGGTCTGAAGAAGTCCAAGTAGGCTTCTTGTCACCATTGCCACTTGTAAAGCTATGAAAAAAGTTACAGTAACATGTAGTTCCCACAGTTGAGCATTTCATATGCTAGTAAAATTTCAAAATCTACACACCTGAGCGGACCTGTAACATCAGATGAGAAATGAAAAAAATTACAACTTGACTGATGTAAAGAAATGAGGATATGTAATAAAGTTTTTCCAGTCTTCCTTTGCACTTATATAAGATGCATTCACAGACCTGTAAGCATGCATTTATTTATTTATCACTAACTTACCTTAAAAGTCGGGCATCTGCAGTGAGGCCTGCAATGGACACAGCTACATGGTCATCAATTGGCAGGATCTTCTTTTGATGAGCAGATAACTCTGATGCTGCCCTCTAAAAAGAAAATAACACAATGCATTGAGCATTTAAATGGTTATCCAATTTAAAGAGAAACATAAATACAAGGCATCCTGGATTTTACAGGTTCATCAACATGCACTTTGTCAATGATGTATTTCAAATCTGTCATCAGTTGATTAAGTTTGTTATTCACCAAAAAGAGTCTCAAAAGCTGATGTTTTATATACTGGCCTACATTAGCAGAGTTTGATTTACTCTGGTAAAGGACTTCTAAATACTGACTAATATTTTGTAATTTTGCCCCCTATCTAAGATCATGTGGTAAGCATATAACCCCTTAATAGTTAAAATTAAACTATCATTTGATGATGCTGCACTTTTTTACCAGCAAGTTATTAGTTTTAGTTAGAAATTCAGTCCAAAAAAGGTGGCATAAAATCCCTATTTTGGAAAATTACAAACATTTCAAGTCTGTCATCAGTTTTGAGTCTCAAGAAACTTATACCCCAAGGTGGTCAGGACAAATTTGTAAACCCACCTTTAATGCCACGAGAACTGCATGAGTTTTGGATTTCAGTCCAACAGTGGCTGATCCCTATGGACAAAAACAAACATTTCAAGTCTGCATGAAACTTAACTGGTCAGGTTGTACTCTATCTGTTATGGGTCAAAATTAAATTCAGATTAAAATTTTTAACTTGGGTTGATTCTTAATTTCCTTAATCTCCTAGCCCTAGTTATTCATGAATACTTACATGTAGGGCTAGAAGACAAAGAAAATAATTGAGAATCAACCTATGTAAAGAAAATTAATCTGAATTTAAATTTGACCCATAACATATCAAATCAATTAAAGCTGCAGAATTTTATATTTAAATTTTCAGCATTTCAAATGCAATGTTATTCAGGGGCATAATTTGTTTATTTCAAAATTATATTTAAATTAAGGGAACAATACTAGAACAAATCATTTGTAAATATTATGTAAAACAGAAAGATGTTTAAAGTTCCAACGTCTCACTTTTTTGCTGAGTTGTGCTAAGTGTTTTCTATAACACTTCAAAAAATGCCACATTCTTTTGATTTTGTGTGGCATTTCTTGTTAATTTTGCTTCTACTTGTGGCATTTTTTCTTAGTAAACAGGGTTTTTGTCAAATATAACCCCTAAAATGTGAATTTAAGTAGTTATTAATGATCATGAATAATATTGAATTATATATCACTAACTTTCCACTTCTGTTCTTACAACATATAATAAATATTATGTAACTATTTCATGCCCACAGTTCCACAATAATATCATTTTTCTCGTCACCATATATATTGTTGTGGTTCAATTTGATCTTTGGTTTAATTTTTATTTTCTTTTGTTTTGGGGAATAGTAATTTTATGATAATGAGTTTTAAACAAAAGAAAACAAAAATTAAACCAAGGATAAAGTTGAACCACAACATATGATCAAGTATTAATGAAAGGTGAAGGCAAAACATTTTATTAAGACTGTGACGAAGGTCCAATGAATAAATACACACCTAAGTACATCCAAGCATCTTGGAGACAATAATACACCTCTTCATGTTGTCTAATCTGTTTTGGGCCTTTGATTCTACCTTACTATAACATTTCCTATCATGAACACTTAAATTGGCCTTATTCTTTAGTTTGGTCATTCACAGATAAAAAAAATCATACCTGTTTGACAGCTTCCATTGCATATTCAATTTGATGTATGCGGCCCTAAAATGACACATGAGTATTACTAATGACAAACAATATTTTACAATAGTACACACAGAATTTGCGTACTGTGGTTTTACTGAACTCATGGCATTAAACGTCAATCAATAGCAATAAGTAGCCCTACAATAAAATCGGTGGTTATTAGAATGGATTGATTTTGAGGATTTTTTTTATACTTTCTTAATGGTCACTACCACCCCATGTTCAGCTAATTTTTGGTAAGCTTATTCTAGACTTCTAACTGCCAATTACTATCATTTTAGAGTTACCTCTTCCTTTCATTGATAAGCTTCAAAATATTGTGCTATTCTAGACTAAAAATCTCTGATCTTCAAAACTCTGCTTAAAAACCCTAAAAGTGACACCTGCTCTGACCATTTATGTTTGTTCTTGTTTTCAAAAGCTGGCATTGTTCAAGGTCTTGTTGATGCCTCATGATGTGACTTGGAACTACTCATGGGGAATTACCTGGATGATTTGGACAACCCTGGAGAACCACATTTTGCTAAGATAAACTGAGGTGTATTTATATATATAGGCTGGCTTCTATAATCACCCACATCATTTTTATTTTCCCAGTTGTCGAAGACTGAAGTGATATGAAGTTTATCCAGATGATTGCTTGGATTAATAGTAATAATAATAATAATAATAATAATAATAATAATAATAATGTGTGATATTATTATAAATATGTTTTTAGTAGAGATAGCGAAGGTTTTACAGAGTATCAGAATTTAATAATATTCTAAATTGGCTTTTTAAGTAGAGAGATTTATATCACTATGTATAAGCTTTTAGTAGAGATAGCGAAGGTTTTACAGAGTATCAGAATTTAATAATATTCTAAATTGGCTTTTTAAGTAGAGAGATTCATATCACTATGTATTTTAGGATTGTATTAGGTTTCGTATCGACCTTTTTTTACTTCAAAGTATAGCTTCTCAAGTGGTGTAGGTTACGCTATGCGCCCTATACTACTCATAATGTGGACAGCATTCCAAAGTTTCATACTGCGACATAATAATAATAATAATAATAATCAGGAACCATTTTACCTGTGGGCTCCAGACTGTAACATCATTGTCGTACTGATTACGGAACTGACAAGGAAAGCAAGAACATAACAAGGTTACGTTACCATAGAGTTAACGATTTACCGTATTATCTTGGGGGGTGTTAGGCCTAAGGCTGAGGTGGATAGCACCCTCTTCGATCTGCATAATTCTTCATATCCTACTCAGCCTCATTCACTAATTGTTAAGTATTCAATAATAATGCGTTTTCATACAGCTGGTAAATGCACGTTCTAGGTACTTGTATCTTTTCTTTTTACATACATTGATAGTCCGATTGTTAGCTTATATTTTTGATCAAGCTAACCAATAAAGAGAAAAAATGGTGGCCGAAAAAAGTCCTCAGTAAAAACCATGTATGACAACGTGACTCAGCAGGCAAGTAGATCAAAATGTCGGCAACAACTTTCTATAATTATTAGAAGTACAATTTCTAAACTGTTTTGTTCACAAGCTACAGAGGACAAACACAAGCTTTATCAATACGAATATGGTCCCACAACTAGAGTAGAAGACCAGAAAAAAGGGAATTTTAGGAGAAAACTTACCATTTTTTCACCGCCAAATTTAACAAAATGTCTTGTAAGCTAGTACTTCATGTAGGATGTAAGTAATTGGTATTGACTGCTGTAAAATTATATCGTGGACTCATTTACCAGAGACTGCGACCTGGTGTGGTCAGTGGATATTCCCCAAAAAATAAAAATGGCGGCATCTGTTGTTGATGTTTTTATTTCAAGGTCTTTTTCTGTGTCACCTAGTCTATTTAAGGGAAACAACTACTCCATCAGATGACAATATTTACGATGAACAATAGAGCTGAGACCGAAACTGGACACAGTGATCCTAGTCAATCCTGGAAACCAAGAACACAGCAACAAAAGAACTCTGAGTTCTTTGATAAACTAGAACAATTTGAGCAGAAGTAAGATTACATTTAGTTGTCTTAGTTATGCTTTTCAAGGTAGAACTATTTTTAATGATGTTTTTACATGAGAGAACAACAAATCTAAGTACACAATTCGTACAAAACGGCGCCCTAGAAGATTGCAATATTGATTGTAAGATGATCATAGTGAGTTAATTTGACCATGCCAATTTTTTAGGATTTCTGCTCTTGAAAAGGATAAAAATACACCATTATACAGCAGACGCAGTGAATTTCGTAAAGATTATTGTGAGCTTGAAGAACTGGAGCTGAAGTCAACAAGTGACTGGAAAACAGAGAGTAAGTAATATTTACACGTTTGTTCCTTGTTTTCATCTGACAGTCAATGATGAAATTCGTGTGGTTCGTATGTGTCTTTGAATCTTTTGATAAAGCCTCTTCAGCAACAAGCAGTGTTCCCGGGAGTTTTCAGTGAAATATATTTTGAAGAAATTACATAATTTGTTAAATAAGAGGACTTCCTGGAAATTCTGCTTAATTTACCAATAAACTATTCGCTGAACCTTATCATGCAGAACTGATACCATTGTTGTTTCTAAATTAAACAAGAAGACGCCCGAAGGCGCTTACACGGGATGTGTGGGTTTAAGAAAGAATTACGGGTATGTTGGATGGAAATGGAAGTTGAGTAGTGTATGCAACAAATGTGTGCAGGAGAGACGGAGATGTTCTGTTACGGACTAATACACTAGAAGATGATTTTTATACACAAGTGTTCCTTTGCTACTCAAAACAAAACTTACATCAATATTATGCCACCATATATGTTAGGAGTATGGGGTAGTTCACTAAAATTTGCATTCCTTTACTAATGTCCTCAAAAAATGCACTTCCACATTTAACAATAGCATGTAATGTATCATACTTCCAATAACTACAGGGCTGCAAGGAAGTGCTCTAGGGAAAATTTCAGAGACCCCTTTGGGCTCCCCAAGCATTTTTAGCTGGGGTACCCGGGCCTCTAAGTTGGTCGCCCAAATTAATAAATCAATGAGCTGTTAGTTAATTATTAAACATTAAACAAATTATTTTCTTAACAAGTCAAGCAGAATTTTGGGAATATTTTTTTCATGAAAAATCACATCCCTTTGACCTCCTGAGCATGCGAAAAAAAAAACCCCGCATGTTGTCATATGAAAGTAAGTTTTCGTGCCATATGAGAAACATGGACAACGCCGCCGAACATTTCATGTTTTTTAAATAGAAAAATAAATTTGGGGTCAAAAATAAGAGCACTATTCTTTTTACTAATCATTTTGATTTAGGTCAGGAGCTCCTGTTTAGGTTGAAAAGAAAATTCGCTTGTTAAGATTGACTGAGATCCCATGGAGCTTTCCAGGAAAACTGTTATGGTTTCAACGAAACCGCGGCGCCCCCCCCGGGGGGTTACTTGTGTTAATTTTTGCTGGGTATGTGCCGCTGGCCTCTCAGAACCCCTACCCCATTATAGTCTTTTCTGTGGCCAATATTGTAGACCCCATATTAGTCACTCTTGGGGAAATATGTGATTTTTGCGATCCCAAGTTAGTCACTTTCTATTTACCGTATTTACCCGTGTATAATGCGCACTTTTTTTACGACATTTGAGGCTGAAAAATTACGCTGCGCATTATACACGGAACCTTTTGTTTCCGAAGCGCTACTCATTTGCATAAACAAAAGAAACAATAGCAGATGGCTGTTTCCAGGACTGTTGTTATGACAAGAATATAAACTACCTATCACAGCTGTTTAATTACAATCAATAAACAACAATCGGTATTTAAAGACAATGTTGTCAAGTATCTTTATTTCAATCACTGTTAACTTACGTGATCGATTATGGCGACGAAGCGACAAAGTTATACAACATCAGAAAAGTTAAAGATTATACAGTTTGCAGAAGAACACGGAAATCGAGCAGCCCAGAGAGAGTTTGGAATTGCAGAAAGTAACGTTCGTTTGTGGCGCAAGTCCAAAGAAAATCTTCAAACAAATTCCTTGGACGGTTCCGAAGACGATTTTATATTTGATACCTCCTCAGATGATGAATCGATCGAGTCAGAGTCAGACTTCGAAGGATTTTAAGCTATCGGTATTATTGTAAATAGGCCACTAGGATCATTGCTGTACTGTAACAAAGATTGTAAGAAAAAAAGTCGAGCTTTTCTTCTGTAAACTTAAAGTTTACGGGTACTTGTAATAAACTGTTATACTGAAGAATATTTTGTTGTATTTTGCGCTGAAAATGTTTCGGTTTGTGGCTTTAATGACAATAGGAATTACAATTTTTTTCTAGAAAGTGTCTTGAAAAATAGGGTGCGCATTATATACGGGTGCGCATTATACACGGGTAAATACGGTATGTATCTACCTTATAGGTCATCAAGAAATGAATTGACCTATTTTTTTAATAAATTGAATGAAGAACACGTTACTTTTCACCTACAGTACAAATATCCTGATAGGTTTGCTAACCGTAAATATGAACAGCTCTCTTACCCCAAAAATCCGAAAATGTGCGACCCCATTCTAGTAACTCTTTTGATAATGTTCAATCTAGTCGTGAAAATGCGACCCCATCCAGCGGCACATCCCTATTAGCCTATTTATAAGGAAGTGCCCCCCCCCCCCCCCCCCCCCCCGGGGGCCGCCCCAAAACTATTATCTCTTTTGAATAGATCATCTTGTTGTAAAGTCGTCTTTTAAGCGCAAAACAGAAGTATTTTCTTTCTATATTACCGGTGAAATGTTCAGGACAAATGTAGATTCGGTTAGCTTTTGCGTATTTATTTTTAGTATGTGATACGTAATGCCTTATCACGACACGAAAGACAATGCAGGATTTTATAGATTTATACCCCCTTTATACCGATTCTAGAACAATCACAATTATAATAGTCGTCTCTTTTCTTTTTTATGCATCGTATTTTACTGGAATAACAATCTTAGTTATGTTTTATCCTCGCAGACACAGCAGTCAAAAAAGGTAAAAATATTTAAAGAACATAGAAGACCGACTCCCTTGTTTATTCAGCGATTTTTCAAAATACAAAACTATTGTTTTGCATCGCCGACCGTACTTCACGCCTGTCAAAGCAAAAGTAGCAACTTGTTTTGAAAAACTAACTAATGAACAATCCTAATTTGAAGAAAAAATTTCAATGTTACTATGAAAAGCTGTTACTATCGAAAACTGTGCAGCTTGTCACGTTCATAGTCAAGGATTATGTTACATGTGAATTCACGTGAAACGACCTTTGAACATCAACGCATGCCCACTGCCCGATTTAACAACATTTCCTAAAGCTTTTTGATAGACATGCTACTTATTGCTACTTACAGAGTCGACCTCAAGAGTTTCTTAGCGAGAGGAGCGTTCTTTTTAGGCCGCGAAGCCACTGAGAGAGCTACGATTTCGCAAGTAATAAATTCTAGACATTCTTAGCTTGTTGACTGTAACTCAACAGAAACAAGAAACCAACACCAGCAAGTTGCCCGGCTGGGCCACCTAGACAATATTTTCAGTCGCCCGAGGCCAAGTCTTGTGCAGTATTAAGAGCACGGCCTTGAATCTTAGTCCTCTTCTACACAGTGAGCTTACTTTTCCCTCCTTTGCTGACGCAGTATGTTTTATCGGCTTGTGCAATCCAGCCTGACTTGCACGTGCTTCGACGTTGGGGCCAATAAAAATCCACACAATTTCTCGGGACGGGCACGGGATACGGGAAAGTTAATTTTTGACTCCCAAGACGACGAAAGGAATGCGCTACCGAATTTTAGACGCTGGCTGACTACGTCATCCCGCGTAATAAGCTCCCCGCCTCTATTAAGCCCACCCCCCCCCCCCTCCCGCCTAAAATGGGCTCAAAATAAATGATCCCCCCCGGGGGGGGCATATTAGAGGATTTAAGTTAATAC